TTTGTCCGCATATTGAAACTCTTTACTTATTAATTCTCTTTGTTTTTTTGTATAGTGGTTTATTTTTATATGTATTAAAAGTTTAATTTTAACATTTGTGCAAAGTTAGATACAAATATTTTCCAACAATTTGTATCAGATGTGTTTCTATAGATATCAGTACATCTTATTATTTTTTATTTACTCTTTTGCAAAATTCTTATACCTGATATTTAATTTCAGATGAACATATTTCACCAAAATAGGAGAGCCATGGCTTTTCGATAATCCCTTAAATTCCATACTGCCTTTTGTACCTAGATTCGTTTTATTTCATTTCTAAATTCATAAATTTATAAAATATAAGACTCCGCTGCCCACATCACGGTCAGTTAATTTTGTTCTCTTATTTGTTGGATGCACTCTAAATAAAATTGTTGAATGATCAACTATTTAAGAAGCAGCTATTATTAAAAGCTAATGGACAAAAAGTTTAATTTGGAATTAATATCTACTTAGCCTGATTGTTTATTGGACAATTATAATTTCTTTAAAAAAATATTGATTGAATAAAGTATATTTTCTTAATTAATTATAAAAATAAAGATTTGTATATATAAGGGTACTTAAACAAATAAAAATACCCACAATGAAATATAAATAAATATAGCGTCTATAATTTTTACTTTTACTTCCCTTTGTCTGAAAATACTTATTTCTGCTAAGAGGAGGGTGGTAAGGAAAATTAGTGTGTTGCGGGCACCAGATTTTTATTATCATGGGACCGCGGTGGTTGAGGGAGTTAAGGCGCCTTCAAAAATGTTATTAATCTATATAATTAAATATTAAATAACACCAATGATGGCATTTATGAAAACCGCATATGGATATGTACATAATATTGTAGGAGTTCGTATTGTATTAAGCTCAAGTTACGTACAGAAGCCTGTTCTAATCTTTTGGGCAAGCTCGGGCGCGCTCGTATTAGTTTGGTTCTTCCATTACAACTATTATCTCTTACGATCTCTTATTTCTCCTTTAGTTAATTATCAAATTCTTTCATATTTTATATTTAACTATTTTTTATATCAGAGATTAATGTGAAATAATTAATTATTTCAAATAAAAATAAATAAAGTTACTTTACAGAAAACTAAAATTGAAAATTACCCATTTAAGCCCTGTTAGAGAACACCAATAAGAATAAAACCTACATTATATTCAAAACTTCTTAATTTTACACTGATATAATGAATTTAATCAAAATCGTTAGAGCGGTTTTCGAGAAAATCTTAAAAATGTGTTAAGTGGATGATATAAAGCGCCACTTCAGGTATGACGATTTTAACAAAAAAGTTGCTATAACATTCCAGGCATATACAAACCTCAAATATGCAATTTCACTATCGTACGATTATTCGTTTTTGAGCTAGACTGTTGCTAGGAAATTTAGGTGCCGCAACGAGACAATTAGGTACAATAGATTTGTACAAAATTTCGCTGATCTGTCCGCTGACATCGGCTACTTCACAAAGAAGTGCATAATTGATATTTTTTGTTTCCAACCTTCGATCTCAGAGACGTGAAATGTGTTTCCCATAATTGATATTTAGTTTCAGGATATTCGACCATTCAGATCCAGAAAGTATTTGCTTTTTATAGATGTATTTATTCCCTTATAGGGATCTGTTTAAAATGGTGAACTCCAATGCCCTGCCACTTGTAGTTGGCCCATTCCTCAAACGAATTTTCCCATAGCGACTACTAGAGGTCTCATATTTCGATGTTCCTGATCAACCCCCCATCTCTCGGGCACATTCAGCAAATTTATCCGAATAATCGAATGTAGATTGAAAAAGGGCCAGTGGCGGATCCAGGAATATTCTTCGGAGGGGTGGGGGGGGGGCGCACCTCTGTATCGCGTGCTCCTCCCACCCCTACCCGTTCCTCCACCACTACCCATTTCTGCCCACTCCTTAGCTGAGTTTAGCCGCTCAAAAGGCCTCATTAAATGGTTTTAACAAAAGCAAACTCTATTTTTATTTAGAGTAAATGTTGACTTGTTTTCAGTGAAGCTATCATTAATTGCTTAAATTAAATATTTTTTTTTATCACTTCCTATTTAACAAAAAACTTGACACATAGGAAATCAAAAAACTTTGAATCCCTACTTTCCTGCTAAAAATTGAAACCTTGTCCATATAAACTTTTTCGTATTTATTGAGTTTTTCTATCACTGCTTTAAATATTTCCCTCTACTTACGAGACACCATGTATATGGGTTTAGACATGTAAAAAACTGAATTGCTGACAAGAGTCACCAAGAGAAAACTTTTTACAGCCAAAAAATCCAGATTTATCTGTTCTTTTTTGTTCATTTATTACTACATAACAGTGCATCAAAGCGAAAAAAGAATTCCTTGAGAAATTAAAGAACGTCAAATTGTGCGTCGAACGAGTACCTAAACTTAATAATTTGATTAAGTGATATGATCGATTACCACGGTCAATGAGCGCTAATTTTTACCGACATTTTCAAAATCTGAGAAAGATTACAATAAATGGTCCTGCAGCTTGTAAATGAGTTCTCTAAGAACCAAAACTCAGAATAATTTCTTCCTATTCATAATCAAATCGGAGGCCAAATAATTAGTATCTTGCCTCATGAAAACGTTCCCAACAGCAGCTATTTTAAGAAAAGAACAACACTGTCTTATGAGAAATGTACAAATTTTTATAGTGACCAGTATTATGAATCGTATGGATTCTTCAAGGAGGCTATAGTTGCTTGAGGTTGCAATTCATCCAGATCTATTGGAACTGAATAAAATCTGGCTCCGGGAGAAAATCCGTATTTTCTTGTGCTCGAATAAAAGGTTGTTCGAAAGAATAAATGAAGTTCATATTTTTTAAAATAAATTTTCCTCCATCATGTATTTCACCTGCGAGATATATTTCAGTTCGGAATCAATAGGAACAAACTGTGACAGGAGTACAAGCCTTTGCATCTCATGGCGGCCCAAAAACTACATCACTCTTTTCTTTGGAAAGCTGCTTTTTGGAACTTTTCCGGAATTTTTGTCCATCATCCAGAGGGAGGGCGTGCCCCCTGGCAGAATTCGCTAGTGCTCGTCACGATAATATTTTTTTTATATATTACATTAGGATATTCATCGTATATGAAGATGAATTTTCCATAGATTTCCCTTTTCTTTAAATAGCTGCTTTTTGGAATCTTTTTTGGAATTTTTTCCAGCTCCCAAGGGGGGGAGGGCACGCAGGGTGTCCCATAAGTAGAGGGAAATTTTGATAGGAGTGATTGCAGACTTCAAGACCTACTAGGAAGTTCATATAAATAATGAGCGAATTTTTAGCAGAAAAGTAGGAAATTAAACTTTTGTGTTTTTTCAAGAGAGTCATGTTTTTTGTTGAACAGGAAGCGTTAACTAAAGAAATACGTAACTTAAGAAATTAACAATTACTTCACTGTAAACCAGACTGATCTAAATTGATCCGGATTTATCAGTTACAAACATAATGTTCTAGCCCTAATAATGAAAAATATTTTAAATTTTATTATTGTTATAAATAAAATATATATTTAGGCAATTATTTTTATTATAATACACACTACATCATAGAAAAACACAAAATAAGAGCTTTGCAAGGGTTAATTTTAGTCATTTTTGCTGAAAAGAACGAGTACTTTTAGGATACAGGATAGAAAATCACATCATTTCTTTACAAAACTTGAGGAATCTCAAGTTTTTGCCTAATAAACCTCAATTTAATTAATATAATTTTAAACCTTATTAAACGAGGTAGTTTTCCTAAATGTGGGGTACCTACCTGTAGTCTAGTTGGATGATGATAAAAAAAAAAATTGCAAACAATTTATGATTTTTTTAAAAACAGAACTTAGCTTAGTTTAGCCGCTGAAATGTCCTCTTCAAATGATTTTAATATTGACAAACTCTCTATTCATTTAAAGTAAATTTTGTCTGTCAAGTTTACAGTGAAGTAATTGTCAATTACTTAAATTAAATAACCCGGAAACAGATACTGATTGACAATGATTAGCTTCTGTTCCGATAAGCAAGAGGTTACTAGCTTATTAATAGTTTCATTTAATTTTGTAACTGAATCTTCGCTTAACTGTAGCTCCCCCAATAATGTACCTTCTAAATACTTAATTGTATCTCCATTTTTCAATGTTTGGACGCACTCTCCATTCGCATGGGAGAGCATCGTTATTTCTAACTCTCCTTTATTCAGAACGATGCCTACGTTTTTCTAAGGATTTATAGCCAAACCAATTGCTGCAAAAGTCCTCTGTATGATGCCCACCACTCTTTCTGGAGTCCCTTGTCTTGCCTCCATACAGCCTGGTCATCTGTGAAACCTGTGAGGACCACACAATCTTGGTCACTCTTAAAATTTATCCAAGTTTTCTGGAAAAGTCTTCATTGCACAGGTCGCAGTAGAAATGATCAATAGCCAGACTGAAGAGAGAAGACGGCGAGGGACTGCCTTAAGGTACTCCATGCAGCACTTTGATTTGGCAGATTGTGTGGACCCCAATACTAATTTTGGTAGTCTACTTACAAAGGAGAGCCGATATAACATTTTTAAAATCTGGCGACAAACTTCTTGATTCTAAGGAGCTCACAGTACACGATTGTGGCCCATATTGTCAAAAACACAAAATCATTTTTCATTATTTCTGCATCTTTTAATACCAAATCAATAATTGATGTGTTAACGTACGTTACCGAGAGACCTTTTACAAAGCTTCTTTGTGACCTGTGGAAAGTGAACTACTTCTTTAATTCGTCGTTTAGAGCCTTCTCTATGATTTGGCACAGAATAGAATAAATCATGATTGATCTTCATATAGATAAAAATAACGTAGAAATAACAGTGAAAATATTAAAAATTGTTAATTAGCAACCCATCTCTGAATTTTACGTTTTATGTTCAATTTTGAGTAAGGTTTTTTTTTATTATAAATACTAATTATACTTGACTATTTAAAAAATTCTTTATTTATATTTATGTATTGCCACATAAAAGCCTATAAGGCTTAAGTGTTTTATATTTTAAGTTGTGCTGTTTAAATTTCAACAGAATAAAAAATAGTAAAATATAAAGGAAATAAGATTCTAACAAGTTTATCAATATGTCATAAACCATAATTTCTAGTATTCACTGTACATAACTTAATAATAATATTTTCTTATTTCAACAATAATTCAAAATTTAAATGAAATTTGTAATTTCATGGGCTAGGTTTTAATGATTTTTCTAAATTTAAGTTAGAATTTTTACAATCTAAAGTAGAAAATCACTTTATTATCTCTACCACTACAAGCAAAATAAGTTGAACATTTAAAATAATTAAATAAAAAAAATTAAATACAAATATTTTGATATCATGTAGTACTTTACAGAACTTAGTGAATCAGCTTTTATTTTCTACTGTTAATAGAAAGTCTCATGTTTTAATACAATGAAAATCATTAATAATAGAATTGACATTTTGAGAGAATAAGTTTCAGAGTTATAAGCTGAATTAAAATTTCTGATAAAAAATTATGAAATAAGATTTCAAAGGCTCGATTCTAATTACTCAAGCATTCATAACTAAAGTTTTTAAATTCTTTATCGTATTGTTTGAATCGAGAATATTTTACGTGTTGTATACAAACAAAACAGGGGGAAAAAGCTGAACAGATTTGTAAAGAAAGACAAATCATAATTGATTATTAATACTACACAAATCATTATTGCAGCATAAATGATATTACATAACATAAAAACTGATCACAAATCTACTCACTAAAATAGTGTGTGAACCATTTAAAATAATATATAACCAATAAAAATATGGTTCATTATATATTTAAATGTATATTGTATAAACTTTTGATACAATAACAGAATAACTACTACATACAAAAATATGAACTTTTGGCAACTATGAAAACATGATCATTCAAGAGCATAACTCTCATAACAACTTATTCTTTCTTATATTAATTAGCTTTTTTTTATTAAATAAAAAAGAATTTTCTTACAACTAAATAAAAATATATTACACGTAAATAAACTTAACTCCTAAACATATAATACTATCTAAGTATTAATATAATGGATCATATGAGAAAACTTGTAGCAATTTCAAATATAGAGCCGTTTTATGTTAGGAAATAAGTTTTATCTGCATAATAATAATAACTTTAACTTTTAATAGAGGTACTTCATTATTTTTACCGTATGCAATTTTCGGAAAGACTGAAAAGTACCCATTCACATTATACACAGTTACATAAAGTCTGTGTAAAAAAACAGAAATCGGTATGATAACATTTAAGAATTAAGTTTTAAGATAGTCACCTAATGATACCAGAAACAATAACTATTGTTCATAGTTGTAGAAGAGTAGAAAAAAATAATCATGTTCTATTTTTTTAATTGGTTATAAATATTTTTACAATATTTTATTTTTTATATTTTAAATAATAAAACAAAAAATATTAAGTAAGCTACAAACATTACATCTTCCATAACCATGCTATTTACTTCTAAATATTAAATGCTCTGCATAACTGTTCCTCTTCCAGGGACCACTTACAATTTTTTTTTATTATATCATTTACTATAAACTTAATTTTAAAATCAATTCAGAATCTAAATTCAAATACCACTAAAGTTACACTATTTAGTTTATATATTTGATTCAGGATGCATTAAATAGAAGAGAGCCTATAACATTTACTGAAACTTTAGTATTAAAAGGTAATAGTTTATGATTCACATCTTAATTAGTAAATAGTTTCAATAACAGTAATGGAAGAAGTATACAGGATAATTACGTAAAGCAGTTAAAAAAGGTCACATATTTTTTTTAATTTTAATGTTTTTTTCTGTCTTAATATCACTTTTTATATCATTAGATTCTTCCCATAAAATCACATAAATCTGTTAATTTATCTTGTTAATTGCAAGAATAAAATAAAAAACTAACATATTAATATGTTTAAATGTATGTGTTCGTACAAGAAATAAAAAAATAGTCTAAAAATGTTAGTGTTATCAACAAACGTAGACAATTTCTCATATGCCCCTTGTCACCAGATAAGTTTAATGTGGAATCACAATCTTGAATTGCTATAAAGCTATTTACAGCGTATTAATACAAAGATGAAAGTATGAGTTTTAATGTAGATATCTTAGTATGAGCAGAGGAGATGAAATGTAAGTCTAAATATTTCTTTTTTGAGTTGCTTATTAATAACTAATAAGAAATCTGAAACTAATTGATGAATTTTATACAACGTGATTATATATATTTATAAATTTTATTCATTTAACTGGAAAACCATAAAAAATAAATAAAAATACCATTATTGTAATGATCAATAATGGCTGATATAAAAGATTATATTTAATTTTTATGTATCTTAAATACTATAAATAAGTACAAAAAAAAAAATTTCCACATATTATATATTTTTTATTGTAAAAAAGATGGATCGTCAGAAATCAGTAGTCATTAATGTTTTTTTTTTTTATTTTATTCTAATATATTTCTGTCTGTGAATTAATACTTAATGAATGAAATGGAAATTATTTACTTTCTACATCTACATCTAGCTAGAGTTAACATCCACTTTTTAATGTTATATTAGAACAGTATTTTTATACAAAAAGAAACTGTATGTAAAAGTTCAGAAATAAAAATTTAATGAGATCACTGTGTACTTTTTCTGCTTAATTTATTTCAATTTGTTTTTTTCTTACCATTCTGGCTACTTCAAATAAACTTTGTGCGCATTTTTTTTTATTTTATTTTTTTATTTAAAATTCTTTTTTACTTAATTCATTTTCATAATGAGTAAATAATACAAATGTTTGCTTAGGAGCAATACATTAATTTTTAAATATTTTTATATCATATTTAGATTTTTTTCTTAGTAACATAACATACAGAGGCACTAAGAAACAATAATAATAACAAATTTGTCTAAAATAAATAAACATTTACAAAATATCACTTTTTAACATAGTGTAAATCATTTAAATTCATGATAAACAAGTCAATATATATATATATATATATATATATATATATAATTGAAAATAACAAACTAGATGTACCACCAACCATCGATAATGGTACTGTTGACATTGCTATTAAAAAAAATATATATGTACATATAAATATTTGATTTAAAATCTTAATGATATTTTACACATTTATATGTAATTATCTATCATTTAAAACAATGAAAATAATTGTAATCAAAATCTTTAACGGGGTGTTATCAAGGGAAAAGTGTTCCATATATGTATATACACACCCTTTATTTTTATGTAAAAATATATACAAGAAATAAATGAATTAATTACAATTATTACCTATTATTTAAGATTTAGCTCTGTTATAGAGTGTATATATATTTTTTAAAGAAAGCACTTGCAGATTCAACAAAGTATTATAAGGTTAATATCTACTAAATGAGTTTATATAAATTTCTAATTATCGAGGCTGGTGTTGTTCGAGATTTACACAAACATTTATATACACTTTATTAGTGGATGGAAAAACCTACTAAACTTTAACAAGTCTTACCTTAGCTAATTGACTAGTGGTGGCAAAAACGTTGCCCATATTTGATAAATTATTAAATATTTTTAAAATTTCTATATCAAATATTTACTCTATTTTAATTAAAAATAAAACTGATGTATAATGAAGGGCATTGTCATTTTATCAAAAAGATATCAATAAAATAATACAGAGGATTATTTAAATATTTACTATTATGAAATAAATGTTCATCTTTATTTGCTGAAAATTGTGATGAATTTGACTAAAAATATAATAATTTAAAAAAAAATTGAAGTAAATTAAATGTTTTTTTATGTAAAAAAAATTAAAACAAGAAAACTATCAGTACGTTATTCTTTATTCACTTGAATAACAGTCTAAGATAAACAGTGTTTTGAACCATTTACTTAAATTTAGAAATATGAACACAAATATTTTTAAGTGTAGGCACACATAGTTTTTTTTTTAGTTTTTTCAAATCTTGAACTTTAGTATTAATGGAAATGTCTAATGATAATAAGAAAAATAAAATAATATTTTTATGACTATTTCAGTTATTGTTTCAACAACAGTAATCAACAAAATAAATATTTTTAATACTAGAATTTAAAAATATTTATCAGAACAAACAATGTTCTAAAGATTATCAGTGCTTGGTTTAATATAATTATTTAACGATTTCCAAATAAAATTATAGTTGATGGTTTAAATTAAAATCATTACATTAAGTCTTAGTCTTACTTCTGTCACATATTTTTATAATCGTTTATGTGAATTATAATTAGTGAAGGTTTTGAGAACTTCAAAAATGGCATTACCCTTGATTTAAAATGAAATTATCAATTGATTTCAATCAAATAATTAATATATGATTTTAAAATAATGGATAGTTATTATTTATATTCTTTCAAATATTTAATTATAGATTAAAAATGTAGTAGAAGGCCATCATGTTAAATGTGCCATACAACACAAATGCTGTATAAATAACTTTAGAGCTTAGTTTTCCATTTTATCACCATGAATAATTTTTATTTCCATTTTAATACAGAAAATGTAATAATCTTTGATAAAATTTAATAATATCTGACATTATGATGGTTTTTATTGCAATATTTTTTAAGATAACCTTGATATTTTATAAATATTTTAAGATCGTTTGGGTTTGGCTTACCAAATATATTTATATGTTTGAGAATTGTGTTGTAAAATTTGATTTAAAGTTTTTAAATATATATGTTGAAAATTCTGTCTACTATTTCACTTGCTTACAATAAAGAGTTTTAAAAATATTATACGCTAGTAACTTATATAAACTTGATAATCGCTTTTTTACATAAAAGCACAAAGCAGGTTGCACAACTCTGGAAAAACAATGACTTCATGAGTAGATTGTTATAACTTCCCTTCCTCCTCCTCGCACCATTAGAACTCTTTCCAGTCCTTCTGTTAACACTTCTAAGAACTCCATATCTAATTTTGATAGGTTAAGGATAGTAAATATTTTTAAGAGGTAATTAATGAGGTTACAACTGACATGAAATGTTGGTATAAATCTAACTGTACATATATTTTCATTTATTTAATATTTAAAAATAAAAAAAAGTGAAAAAAGAAATATGGAAGCACTATCAGTTTCATACTTCTTCCTAAATTTTTCCTTGAATTTTAGTACTTATTTTTTAGTATTTATACAACTTTTATTGCTCAATATTACTTCTGTACTTACGATGTATGTTTTAATACATATTATGGCAATTTTTATATCATAAAAATGGTCCTAAATCAAGCTCATGGGGTGAAATGATCACGGCTCTCAATTAGCCATTAAATAATATTCCTTGATATGCTAATAATTTTTTTTTTTTAAGTTTCATATTGGACAAGGAAGTGTTTTCCTAAAAGATTTTATTAACTTTGATCAGTTAATTCTATAATGCCTAAGAAAAAATAACACTTCCAATAATTGAAATATTAAAATAAAAGGATACAGTTTGCTTCTCTTTCAACTGATGTGTCCTTTGGTGGTCCAGGGAGATTGAGAATCACAAGTTGGGCATCATGCGATTTATTCACGATAACTTCATTTAGTTTCACTGCTGTGTGCATCCTTCTAACATTTCCTTCATCCCTGAAAGTTAAGATTGGTAATAATGGTCTTAACCATACAACTAATTAATTAAACATCAAATCAAATATGATGGCAATCATGAATACATGTGTGTATATATTGTGTTTAGTACTAAACAGTACATTTATGTTGAAATATTTTGAATACTCAGTGGTTGACCGCAGTATAGTATTGAGGAAAGAGATGGTCCGGGGTGGCAGTTATAAAAAAAACTTGAAGTAATGAAAACTAATTTATTTAAGCCTAAAGACAAAACAGAAACAAAATTAGTTTTCACTATCTCATGTTTTTTTTTTTATAACCACCACCCAGGACCATCTCTTTCCTCATTAAAATATTTTGGCATAAGAAGTACTGTAACTTGATTACTTGGACTAATAAAAAAAAAAAAAAATATATATATATGTATATATATATATATATATATATATATATATATATATATATATATATTACTTTAGTCTTTTGTTAAGAAAATATAGATATAGTTCATAATCTGTTTCATAGGCTCTCTGATAATAACCAGAGGTCTCTAAACTATGGCCAGTGGGCCTAATCCAGCCCGCATGCACCTCCAATCCAGCCTGCAAAAATCTCTTTGATTGCATGGTAAAATTTTAAAAACTATTAAAAAAATGTGAAATTTATCAAATTACTCACACGAAAGGTTAGTAAAACATTTATCACATGTTTTTTCTTCTCTCAGAAAGCTCATTTCACAACTCAAGTGTCATTGACAGAAGAAGATTTTTTTTTTCATCACAAGCCCGCGGGACTTAGGTGAAGGTCTCAATGTGGTCCACAGGACTTTGCGAAGGTCTCAATGTGGGCTGAGGGCCAACAAGTTTAGAAACCCCTGTTCTAAACAAAACTGAATAATTTAACAGAGCATCTGCATTCTTGTTCTAAGTGTGAACTTCTATAAGAACAACCCTTTCTATTCGCTCATCCATATTTGACTTTATAATTCTTGAAGAAATGGGTTCCTTTTTTCTATTTTAGCAAAGATACATTCCTTCATGATGATTCCAGCCCCTCCCTTGGTTATGAAATGAGCTGGCTAAGTGCTAAGTTCATTAGCAATTAAGTCCTTGTTTAGGTTCATTTCTGTGTGACCTTTCTTCCTCACTTTATTTAATTATCAAAATGCCTATCCTGAACATTTCTATTACTTCAACCAGTTAAACTTCTTTGCCAGCTATAGGTTTGATTTTTTATACACCAGATCTAATATCCTTTCAAGTGCCATATTGTAACTGTTGAGACTGGTTAAATCTGGGGAGAACTGGAGTTCTTTGAATCAATTATACTCTTCTACAGATGATTGATGTACTAGAAAAGGTCTAGTATCCGAAGGATATGTCTTGGCCCCCTAAATAGTTATGATCCTACAGGAGAAAGAGAGAGTGGACTATACCTCTCCCTTCTCCTCACAATGGGTTTCTACCAACCTTCAACAGTTCTAATTCTCTTAAAAAACTCAAATACAAAATTAAGAGCAAAATAACTTACAAATTAGTGTGTAATAATAAAACAAAAAAAAAAATGAAATTTTGACAAGATAGTTTCAAATTTTTAATTATTTTATTTTAAAATATAAATAAAAAGTATGTGTTAGCAAATGAATCATTCCTAATTGAATGTATATTTGTAAAAAAAGTTCAGTAAATAAAAAAAATGGAACTAACGGAGTAACAGGTGTTTTTTCAGAGGACACAGTTGTACAGGCTGGTACTGTCTTGTTGCTACATGAAACAGTCTCACCCTCATTCTTAGCTTCTTCTTCTTTCGCCTCAACCTATTTTTAAAAAAGTTGATATTAAGTTTCCATGAAGCATAAAATTTTAATACATTAAAAACAATTAATATAACTTTCTACAATTTAAAATAAGTTGTCTACCATTAATGCCAGGGAGGTGGGCCATCTCATTGGTGGACCAACCAGCCCCCCCTGGGCGATATGGCCAAGAGGGCACCACAATTGAGGTACAGACATAAAAAGAATACATAATGTTCTTGGAAAAAGTGCTAATTTTATCCATATTCCACTTCCTGATCAATTTTATAATTGATTCTAAATTTATTGGCCATTGGTGGAATTGCAAAGGTATAGTTAAGTGATCATAAAGGTCTAAATAACGAAAATTTACAATAAAATTTAATTGCTGATATCAAATCTATGTACTGAAAAAATCCGAATTTCAAAATTGTATTAATATTCCAAAAGCCATTGAGACACGGCTTGATGAAGTGAAGTGATACAGGAAGTAGGATTAAATAGACTTTATGCAGAGGCATTTGGTGGCAGTTTATTGCAACAGCACACCAATGAGATAGTATTGGAAAATATGTGGAATGATGATAATGCATATAAAAGCATTAATAAGTTTGAAATCACATTCCGATGGTATAGCCTGCAATTCCAATGAAATAATTAAAATATTACTTCATGAAAAACTTTCAAAAAGCAATCATTCAAAGAAATGGAAGATACACAGAAAGTTCATCCTCAAAGACTTATTGTTTAATGAGAAATATAGGAACTATTACCGTGTATTCAGTTTTTGTGTTTTGAGAAAAAAAAAACTAAATCTCCCACCTCCTTTTTCTTATTCCTTCAATTGTTGATCCATTTCCATAAATATTTGTATGATGAAGTATTTCCATTGAATGAAAATTTGAAATGACCATAGCCAAAAGCAAAGTGTCACTAATAACTAAGAAAATAATGTTTGCTTACTAACTTTTATAGGTTATGCCAGGTATGGAGTGCTCTTTTATTATTATTGTTTCTCATTTTGGTCTTTTTTGTTCTTATTTTGTTTACCTTTTATACGTAAAGTAAGTAGTGTAACAAAAATTGTAAATGCATCTTGGGTACAACATAATTACTAAATTTGAAAGATTCAGCGGTTTAGCAAACTGAAGTTGACATCACTGAACATCCACTGCATAAAAGTAATCCCTAAATAATCCAAAGGAGCCCTTCTATGGTATAGAGATTGTTTGTTGGATGCAAAATATTGAGAATATCACTAATAATTGAAAATATAAAAATTAATGTTTAAAACATAAGATATTTATATATTTTTTAAAATAAATATAATAAGTTTTCTAGTGATTCTAATTGTTAAATGTCACTGATTAACTTTTACTTTTCTCAATCATTTAAATTGAAGTTGCTATTCAAATTCTGATAGAGAAAAACATTCTAAGAATCCTTTAGAAAGGTTTTAATACCTAATCTGTAAGAAGAAACAGGATAAAATAAAACTAAATGGCAGATTTTAGTATAATAATTTAATGGAAATAAAATAATTTCCAAGAAAATGCACCATTTAAAGTAGTCTGTTATAGTTCATATAGCAATATTTTATTTTACTATCCATAGTTATATAATATTTTAGAAGTTGATTATAAATTTAAAGATTTTTATTATCTATAAATCAGAATTTTCCCTGATAATTAATGCTTGCCATTTATAATACTGATTATGACATACTGCTATATAGAAAACTTTATCTTAGGACATGAAAAATATGACAGAAATCAATAAATACTCAATAAGATGAAAAATATAGCAGGTTGTCTCAATACATAAATATGAAATCTTCAATAAAATTTTTGATGTAAATTTGTATCATGAAGACTTGTTATAGACCCAGGATGAGATAAATATATATAATCTATAAAACTCGAAAATATGAAAAAATGGGCTACTGGCCGATTTTTGGTAGGTCTGATAAAATTTTACCCTAGGTGGCTTCAACTCATGCAATTTTCTATAAGAACTATCCTTTTATCACTGTTCCACAATATAATATGTAAAAATACACAATATTTATATATTTATACATAATATCCAACATTTTTCTATAAGAAAAATTTGTTACCATTTTTCAAGGGATGTACAAAAATCATAAGATTTTTTTTTTACCAGTTGTACTTACTTGTTATCAAAAGAAGATAAAGAGCAATTTGAGCATCTGGATTTCAGACTATTTGTGTATCTGAACAAATTGTTTATTTCAATAATAAATTGTAAGTGAAAAAAAAAAAAAATGCATAAAGGTGGGCAAAAATCGATTGTTGGTGAGCTCCTAAAAACAAGAGAGAATCTTTAAAGTTGTGAATAACACTGATCGCTAGCAGTTTCGCCAATTAACTCTCCCAATGGCAAATTCCCCATTTGAACCAATTTTTTTCATAATGCGTTATTTGCTTAAGTAGTGTTTTGTATCTTCCACCTCAATTATTGCTGGACTACACCTCAAGCTGTACCCAGCCATAATAATATCTTTACAACAAATCCGATATCCTACTAACTATTAAGAAATAAAAAAAATGCAAGCATTATAGAAATTTTTTAATTGAGGCTCGATAATATAGGAATGAATTCAAATTCATCAGACCTTCATCAGAAGACAAGGATCATCATGAATTAGCCTGATGAAGAACCGAAACCGGTAGCAAGAAAGAATAACAAATTATATACAGAAGGACAATGTCTTTTTATTGAATTATCAAAATTAAAGTATTATAGGGGTTATATCTTTGTGAAGTCGCTGCTGAAATATTAGGATGCAATTTCAAGAAATTAAAGAATAGTATAACTTGAAATGTTAAGGGTATGAGAATTGACTATTTATACTTGGTTGATACTAGAAACATATACCAAAATCAATAAAAATCTGGATTATTCTAATGAAAAGTTTGGAACAGGTGTAGAAGTCAGAGAAAATTAGAACAAAAAAAGGGGAGGAAACCAGTATTACTACAAGCCATAAAGGATCTTGGCCATTTAAAACATCGGTGAGATGCATCCCTTTTGTCGTAATAGCGATTGATGCCTATGAAAATAATATTTTATTTATTTATTTCATATAAAAACTTAAAGTTAAATAATTTTATTAATATAACCTGTAAAAGTCATTGAGGAATTTTTAGTTTCTATTATTGATTGAATTAGCTAATTGTCTGAATTAGCAAATCAATGAAAATTAAAAGATGTATTGATATTAAAGATATATACAATTATTTTATAAATATAACACTAATGTAAGTCATAGACTATTTTTTAACATAAAAATTATTTATGGGATCGTGGCCTATGGAATATAATAAAATCCATAACCATATATTTCATAAGTGTGGGGAAAAAAATCAATATCACTGTAATTCTAAAACGGCATTAATTCTAAAAATTTTTGGTCTTCAATTTTCTTTGAATGCGATAATAAAGTTTAATGTTTATTAGTAAATGAATTAATTTTATAAAACATTATTAACACTATCAGAAACAGTCAAGTTAAATATTTTCACTATTGTTCAGTAACATACATTGTCATATCTTTCAGTCATTTTCAAAAAAAAAAAAAAAGTACCAGAAGGGTCTTGGGTTCAGTAATTTGTAAAGAAGTACTGTTTCAAGGCCAACAGTCGTGCAGGGAGGTGATTGAGCCAGCTTTCTCCTCGATTAAATATTTGATTAAGAGCACCCACTTTTTAAGAAGAAACTTTTTAGTGTTTCCCAGTAGGATCTTCTGACACTAGGGTTGATCTAAGGCTGATAGAACAGAATAAATGATTACCTGCAATCAGCCGAATATGAACATGGGAACTTAAGAAGTCAGTGCCTTACACACTGAGCTGTACTGATCTCTATAGAACTTAACTCAGAACTGTGATAGGAATGAAATTAACCAATAACAGGGTAGTTTAAAATATCACAACTTCAAGGCTATGTAGAAGTTTAAATAGTCTCTTTTATTATAATAATTGTTTTTCTTTCTAATAATTTATATGAATAAATGAAGTTTATTTTTAACTTGTAGTTTTAAAATTTTAAAAAGAACATTAGACTTATTTACTTTGAGCTAGCAACCTTTTGATCTAACAGGGATCATTCTAGGAGTTTCATCTGCATAATTCATTACAGTGACAATATAAGTTTTGTTTTAAAATAGTTTCAAAAAGGTTGTTACAATTTTCTTTTGTATTGACAAAAATCTTACTGATAATTATTTGTTTCAAATCAGTATTAGATATAAGAATATATGTTAGTGAGATTTTACATTTTCTATGCAGTTAAAAATTGAATGACATAGTTTATTCTTACGATATAAATAATTTAACCTTTTAGGTCATTTTCATTGATAATTTAATATTTAAAATAATTACAGCAGTTTGTTCTTTTTCAGTAACTCCAGATTCTCCACCACCATTGGCAGAAGGTTCTTGAAATCTCACTTTTGTAGCTGTTTTCACATCATGGTGTTGATCTATTATTGCTTGTACCTAAAAAAGATATAAATCTGTTTTACTATCCATTGAGATATATTTAAAATATTGTACTTGGTTATAAATAATTCCTATATATTTTTAAATCTTTAAATAAGATATTAAGTTACACTTTAAAAAAAATTGTAAATAGTGAAATTACAAGAATGAACCTATTTGAATACTTACTAACTTAAAAATTATTTAAATAAAAAAACTATAATGAAGGTATAATTTACTTCCATCTAGGGTCATGCACAACTAGAGAAATTTGTATGCACTAGCCATGCGGAATCAGAAAAAATATTTTATGAATCACAATTTATACTATTGCATAATGAAATATTATTTTGTATTTCTAAAAATAGTACTTCATGAAGTACAGGACAGTATAAAATTGAAAATCAATGTAAATTGAAGCAGTGACTTTACTAAGGACAGATGAGCCTCAATGCAAACATTTTTCCTTTGAGTCCTTCCTCCTCTAGAAAAAAGAACCCACTTTATTCTAATCCCATAGGAACTACTTTACCTATCAACAGTTTTTTTTAATTCCTTCCTCAACATAATACATAAAGCCCAAACGCAACAATGCAAGCCATAAATAATTAAATAATTGAGAGGGTTAGAATGACAGTAGAGTGTTTTACTTTTTTTTGTGCAGATGGTGAATGTTTTGTAAATCCACTGTAATGAATATTATACATAAATTATTTGAGAAAATATTTTGTGCTTAATGATATATGTATAGCATACATATATTAACAAAACATATACTTTTTGGACAAAAAGCAAAATTGACTCACACTAATATCATTCTAACCTCCTCGATTCTTAAAAACAAAACTACTGTTTCATTTATTTGAAATGTTTTCCAGTGAGGCCATTTATTCTCTGTGAGGACTCCTCCTCCAACAGATTTGGGACCTACCATGTTTTCCAGGAATTGAATTGACAATATAACATCTCTGAATGGAAGTACCTTAGTAGGAAAGATAGATTAGAAGTAGCTATAGACTATTAAAATAATTATTTCTAGTACAAAAATAAGTAACTTTTTCTGATCCCTAAAATTGATTTTTAAGATTTTATAGGTCAATTAAAATTATCAACTTTAAAAAAAAAAAATTAAAACAAATATTTAATGCAATGAAAGTAATTTAAAAATATATTCAATAAAAAGTAATTAACATGTTGGAGGCAGTGTTATTGCATTAAGTTTTTCATTTAATATTTAAACACATTACTGTACATCTAATTATTATTAGAAGAAACACCATTTCATATTTAATGGTGCACCCAAGAAAAACATACTCAAGTTATTCATTATATATATATATATATATATATATATATATATATATATATATATATATATATATATATATTAATGATTTAAATGTTTCAGAACAATTCTGCCAACAATATGTCAACAAAGCTATCAAATATGAAGGATTGGTTCTAAATTTGTTGTTAGTTGGCTATAGCCATGCATGTGGTCGACTATATAATACTTTTCATAGATTAGAGTACCCAAAGAAATCAAATAGATGGTGGCGGAAGTGACCTCATTTCTAAGTAGTCCAACGTCTGGTTTTTCCGTAATGATAATTAAAAATTTACTGAAGCCAAACAGAACATTTTGATAGCGACAATGCTTGGTTTGCTGATTTAGAAATTACATCTATGAACAGACCTGGTGAGAGAGGGAGAGGCAGCTGGGGCAAAACAAATAGTTAAGGCTTTTGGAAATTTCATCTGCATTGTTGGTTAATCATACATTAGGCATAGATGTCCCCAATATACCCACTGAGAGATGGTGTATATATATTGTATATTAGGTTTAGAATCAAAACAAATTTACGGTCGACAGTTTATCACAATGTAGCATATTCATATAATGTGACTAATTAATTCCAAAAAAATTAGAATAATGCTTCTAATATTACATGCATTTCTAAAAACTAAAGGAAGAAAGAGAGATTTATTTTTTCCATAACTACATAAACATAAATAAACTTGTTAAATGTTGTATAAAAATGGAATAAAATAAATAATGTAATAATATGAACATTGTGGTGGCAAAAATATTGATGTCCAGAGTGAAAAAAAGAAATGTCAGAAACAATACAAAGTTAACTGCAGTACCTTGTAAAATATTTATAGTAATATAAATATATTACTATTTTTAGTATAATATTTATAGTAATGTATATATATATATATATATATATATATATATATATATATATATATATATATATATATACACACTTATATATATATATATATATATATATATATATATATATATATATATATATATATATATATATATATATATACATAAACATGATTCATTGTTATTGAACAGATAATTTAAGTTTTACATTACAAGTAATGGATTAAAAAAAAAAATTGAAATTTATAAAGGCTTTATTTAAGGTTATGAATTTAATATGGACATACTATTAACTATACTATTTGTATAGTTAATCCCTATTTACGACTTAAGTACATGGGGTGGGGTCATCAGTCCTATGCCCAGTCAGTGTGAGTTGCCTCCAGTATGCTGACACGTCACACATACCGGGGGGAGGGAGAGGGAAATCTCAGGGAGTGGGGCTTTCCTTGGTGGATGGTCACCCACCCAAGTGCTAACCATGCTCATGGTTGTTTAAACTTTGATTATCTATTGCATGTGCTACCCCAGCCCCCATATGTGTATGTATATATATATATATATATATATATATATATATATACACACATTTCTATTCTTCTATTCTATTCCATTTCTATTTCTATTTCTATATATAATCATGTTTAGGTGTATATATATATATATATATATATATATATATATATATATATATATATACACACCTAAACATGATTTATTGTTATTGAACAGATAAATTTAAGTTTTAATTACAAGTAATGGATTAAAAAAAAAATCTTAAATTCATAAAGGCTTTTGGGTTATGTATTCGATATGGAAGTAATATTTGATTAACGGTTATACAAGCAGGTGATGTTTTTAGCATCCATACTCAATTGCCAAATTTTTCTCCTAAACCAGTGAAGGGTCAAGAACCAATTATAGAAGTTATAGTTTATAGAGGCTGGGTGAACTCAAGACTTAAACCAGTGCTGCAATAATAATGTATTTTTCATTGAAAAAGTAACATTCTCTTCTTCACTCCACCAATGGATTGGTTATTATTGTCATAGCCAAAAATATTGAGTGTGAAAGAGGCTTATGGCACAGTAATGGACATGAAGGATATTATCTTAGGTCTTAATCTTTGCCCTGAAAAAAACACACCGCAATTTCTCACTATGGTATACAATGTTTGGTCTACTTCCTATACATGTTTCAGTAGAGTGCTCTTGCATTTATAGTGATGCAGAAATAGATTGCTATTCCTTGTCCAATGGAGAGTGAAAAAGCAACATGGTTTCATGAAAACTTAAAAATTGAGGAGCCATGCTCCGCTTCAAAAAGATGGATCCACAAATTAAAAAAAAAGACACAGTATCAGGTAATCGGCCATTCGAGGGGAGAGTCTTAGTGGTGATAATGTTGCATCCACGTTATTTTTTGAAAATTTTAGCGGTTTGGTCAAAAAATTTAATTTAAATTTTAATCGTTTCGGAAAAAAAAAACACAACCAAACATTGGAGGCAACGGAACTTCTACTGAACTATTTTGAAAAGAAGATCTCCTATTATATTAGAATTATCTTGCTATGGGCAATGAGAACTGATATTAGAAAATAAATTTTTAATAAAAAATAAACTAAAATTACTGATGTTTTCTCTGAATGAAAATTCAATACCTATATAAAAATATGCATTCAATCATTCTTATGTATTTTGGTATATTATAATTTAAAGTAGATAAAACATTTGTTTGTTTATAAAAGTGATTTTCTGCATATTTTTTTTTTAAATTAACTTTCTTATTGACACTTTAAGTCAATAAAATGTTGTAATTCGATTATTCGGGGTTTTCGATTATCCATGAACCCCCATACCCATTATTATCCTGAATAACAGGGATTCTACTGTAGATCATGCTGGGAACAACTGTTAAAGTAGTTTCTTTTTAATTGTCAAATTTGTTTTTCTATGAATTAGTTCTTAAGTTTGAAACTTTTAGATTCTTAATAATAATAGAACAGTGTGAATTTTGCAATTAAAATGTAATATGTTTCCAATTTTTTTTATATTATTGCATTTTATAATAATGATTAAATGTAAAACTTGTTCTAGCAGAAAAAAGTGATTGCTAGGTGCTAAATTAATTACAACATAATTCAGTGGAAATGTGTAATATCTAAATAAATGCACTTAGGACTATTACCCATTCACATCATTTTGAGGGTTCTAAGTAAAACAATATTTTCTCACAAATCGTTCAGGAGGAGTTTAAAAGCTTAACATGCAGGAACTTAAAATCAAAATAAAACAAATACTTTTTTTGAAGGTTAAAAAATAGTTTTGGTGGCAGACTTAACCATAAATTTCCAAACTACTACACTATTCAGTAATGAAATTAGTAAAAAAAAAAAAATTAAATATAGTATGCTTCAAGCATGCAATAAAGCATCAATAACCAAAAAATACAGAGCTCAAAGCTTTCACGGAGCAAAAACGCACCAAAGGCATGTTCTCCTCAGAAGGAATCTCATTGTAGTCAACCTTGAAAGGCAATAATACACAGAATAAAAAATATTACTTATTATTCTCCCAAATTATCTTATTTGTTAAATCTGAGTATGAAAATGTTTAACCCATTCAAAATATAGACACCTTAAAATGAAATGTATTCAGCGAAAATGGATTTTCTAGGAGAAAGATTTGTAAATTATGAATAACAATTAAGATTCAGATATGAGAGTATGAATTTATTAGAAAGATGTTTTTTTTTTTTCGTTTTTTCCATTGATAGTATTAATATTTGAGATTGTAAAAGGTTGATTACAAAGTTATGAAACAGTGGATATGCTCCATATTGAAATCAATTCATTTTATGAATCCAATAATTTAATCAGTGATAAATTACAGAGTGTAAGTAATTGTATTAACAATTTTCTAATCAAATCAATATTGAAAGATATCTATATTATAGGGGCAATTTTAATTCTTACTATAAATGTTATACATTAAAATATTCAAGGATCACGGTAATTCTAATATGAATTATTTATGAGTAAATTATGATAAATACTTCCAACATCTTGTTACTACAAGATTAAAAGAAATAAATAAAAAATGCATAAATATTATAAAATAGGCCATTGTTTCTCATTTTATCAATCCTGTTGAAATTAAAAAATCACTGAATAATATTTATCATCAAGTTATTTCTAGAGAACCAATTTCATAATAAGTTCCAAAATATAGTAAAAAGATGTGAAATTTCAGTTAATGTGAATTTGGAATTTATTATAATTCCATAACTATACCTTACAAATAAATATGTATATATCAGTTATAAGTGATACAAAAAAAAACTAAGAGGTTTAGATAAATACATTCTTAATTGTCTAATGCAATCACTTAAATTAACAATGATACTTCTTCATGAAGAAGATTTTTTAATTTGGTTAGCACTAAAAACTTTGGCAATCTTTGGCTGCATAATGTGACTTTTTACAGGCATTTATTGTTTGAAGGGCCATAGATGGCCTAAAGGGGGTTACCCAGCCTCACAGTGCTTTGAACCATATTTCCATGGCGCAGTAGTAGAATCTAACCTATATCTATAAGTATTAATTTGTAAATAGTTTCCTTTGTTTTTAAAATATATATTTCAATATAATGAAATATATCTATTATATACATGTTTATGTTTCTATATAGAACATAAGTTCCAAAGCAAATATTCTAAAGGTTACCTAATAGGTTAGGAAACTCAGTTTAAAATATGAGACTGAGTATTAACTACAAATAAACCTTGTATTTTTATTATATATACTAATTATTTTTATTAACTTTTTTTTGCTCATTTCTACAAAGTATATTTTAATAAATGATTTGGTTTTAAATCAACAAATATATATGTTAAATTTGTGTTTATCCATAGAGCTTCATCGGTTAAATAATATAAATCTAATCAGTGAATACTACTGTATTTTATATTAAATAAACTATTTTTTCCTTCTTCATGTTTTGCTATAATCATTAAAACGGTTTTACTTTTCTTCATCCAATAATTTTCCTTAAACGCCGCTAACTGCTTGAATATATTATTTGATACATTAAATGATTGAGTAAACTAACCATATATTACACTATAAATTCATTAAAACTATTCCATCAGATCAATGTTTCTTTTATTAAATCAATAATAATTGCATTTAACTTATATTTGTTACTACATTAAATTCTTAATGAAATGTTCATAAAAACTGCCCAGCAATAATCAGGGGCGTACTCAGAGTCTACTGTAGAGAGTTTAACAAAAAATGTGAGTGTGTGTGTGCACTTTTGGGTGAGTGAATAGTATCATACCTATACATGCATGTATTTTATTTTATACAGTATGAATAACTAAATGTAATGTATTGTTAATGTGCTTATTTATGTAATCTATGAAAAGCTTTTTAATTTTTCACAAATCTATTGTAATTGAATAATAATTTCTATGACTCGGGGAAGAGCCTGCACTCCTTATCTGTGTACGCCTCTGACAATAATCATAAGGGTACGCGACAAACATAAATTATGCACTAAAAATAACAAACATTTATTACCATTCCCAAGGCTTCTCTTTTGTTCAGACGTAGTTCACGGAGCATTTGATTTCTTTGTTCCATCATCAATGTTCTTTCATAAGTATACTCTGATATATCGTTGTCAGTCTAATGAAAAAAAAAATAGATCAAAATATTAAAAATAAACTTGATAACACAGTTCATTACATACAAAAAAAAAATTCAACCCTCAGAAAATGTAAATTGTTTTGGATATTAAATTGTAATCATCTAAAGCAAACATAACAATAGTAAAAACTATATTTACATCAAATTTACAGTATAATAGAATGTGTCAAATATACACATATGTATGTTTTTAATAAAATGCTTCGATTCTCCTCTCTTTGTGAAAGCAGTAGTGACTTAGCATTTCTCCTCCACATTTCTTCACCAAGTTGTAGGTGATTAACCTGTTAAGCTGTTATAGTTATAGCTAACTAATTTGTTGAATTGTGTATGTTTTAAGGTAACATAAAAAATTCCATCAACAAGAACCTGTATTTGTAGTTCCAATCCCTATTAATAAATCATGACCGAAAGCTATTACCAATAATGTTTCTGAGGTAAGGAATTGTAAAAGGGATAACAAAAGTTCTTCAAGTTTATTTTCATGGGCTGTAGCTACTCAGCTCTAATTTTTTATTTAGATTTACAATCCAGGGACTGCATACATCACATATAGGACCAGTTTATGATTTTTATGTAATATTATATTATATTTTTAATTTATATCTATATCATATTTCTTTTATTTGTTTTTTATTTTAAAATGTTACTCTTGTTTTTTTTACAATATTAAAGGATACACATATAGAAAAATAAGTAATTAATCTAGATAAATTGGAATAAAAAAGAAAGTTAAATAAAAAAAGTCATAATTTCTAATATATTTATTATGCTTCAAAGAAGGTGTACTTCAGGAGTTTCTACTTTCTACTTCAATTTCTATTCTTGAAGTAAAAATATGTAAAACACTTAGTTATACTGCTAGAGCAATTTATATGGTTTTCAATTTGCTTTTTAAGAGTTATAACAAAGTCCTTTTTCAGAGAACCAAAGCAGTCCCAGGGACCATAATAAAAAAATGTGAAAACTTGTGAGTTTAAATAAATTTAACTTTTTAAATTTATTTGTAGGATATCAAAAATTCTAAACAAAAGAAATATAGCACCACAAAAAAAATCTAATTGGACTAAACATGTTAACAATGATAAATGAGATAGACCATTAATTTACTAGTTAATTATGTTATTCAAGCTATCAATATTCAAATTTAAAACATCGACAATGTCTCATATAAAACAGTAAATTTTAACGTTGGCTCAGAAGTCATCCAGTTCACAACCCCAGAGATGCGATCTATGGACTAACTCGACTAGATCAGGTCTTGATCTTTCGCATACAAACTGGACACAACAGGCTCAAAGCTCACATATTGAGTAAGTTCAAAATTGGCTCTAGTCTTCTCATCGAGTGCGATGAGGATGTACAGAATGTGGAACATATCCTACGAACGTGTATGGTCTACTCCCAGCAAAGGAGGGTGATCTGGCTCTCACTAACTGAAGTGGAAAGGAAACTATATGGAAGCCTGGAAGACCTGAGGAGGACTACCGAATTCTTCATTTTAGTTCCTGACCTAGTCATGTAAGAAACAACGCAGAAGAAGAAGAAGAAACAGTAAATATGTTTAATAGTATAAAGACTATTTAACAGCACCTAATATTTCCTAACCATGTTTGCTAAAGTAAGAATTCCTCAGAAGTATTGGTTCAAAGCAAGGTATAAAATGTAATTTTAACATTTTATTTTTAATCAGTTTCGAGATGACTGGAATTTTTACTATCAATTTTTTTTTTAGGTTCTTTCGGAACTAGAATTTTTTTCTTTGCAACTTTTCAAGTTAAGGTTTTACAGAAATTTTATTAAAACAAAAAAACTTTTATTTAAAAGATCTGTTGATTTCGCCAAAAAATCTATCTAAAAAATTACTTTTATTCTTAGCTAATCAAACAAACAAAACAATTGAATCAATATATGAGATAAATTATATCTATAATTTAAGGCAAATTAATGTTTTATTTCATTTAAGTGTAAATAAAAGTTAAAGTTTTACCATAAATCTAGAACTTTATTACAAAAATGTTCTTGAGAATTTTTAATTTTTTTCCCCTAAAATGTTTCATGAAAACTGTTAAAATGGAACTTTTTGAAAAAGTTTCATCCCCTTGTTCAAAGCAATATAGCCAAATATCAGCAGGTCAAACCAGGGAAGGAATCAAATCCTGGTAAATTGAAAAGAAGGGAATATACTGTGTCAAAATTTGGTGTGAAACCACCCTACCTTTTTATTAGTCAAAGGAAAAGGAAATGTTTTACTTAAATGTGACAAAAACAAAAAGTTTTGAAAAATAAGAGCTCTTCTCACAAGCCACTGTACATTAAAATATCACCTTAAAGTAGATCTTTTCTATTTATTTGCATGCAGCTCTATTGCATCTTTGTTGATTCTATGTATCTATCTATCTACTTTTTGGCCTTCCACATTGTCTTTTGCCTTCTATTAAGGCATTTATAGTTATGCAGAGGCTTCCAGATGGATTGCTACGAGCTACATGCCCCACCCATCTTAACCTTCATGCCTTCATATCATGGGATATTGATTGACCATTTTCTATAAGCAGTTCTTTATTGGTCTTTCTTCTCCATGTGTTAGTACTCTGATCCCAGATTTTTCTCTCAAATCTTTCAACACTTTTTTCAAAGGTGCCGGTTAGTGTCCAGGTCTCACAGCCATGTATTAGAACTGGCTTAATCATAGCAATGTACACCCTTAGTTTGAGATTTTTTTGGGGGGGGGATTTCAATAACTTTGAAAGGGAGAAGAAAGCTCTGTTTGCGCTAGTAATGCGCTGGTCTATTTCTGCCCATTGGTCATTCATTGAAGTTATTGTGGAGCCGAGGTATTTGAATTTCTCTACTTTCGGGAATGATTTTCCTTTCTTGCAGATCCTGTTATTGGGGTGTAATTTTCGGCTTATTATTATGCATTTTGTTTTGTCTTCATTTAATTGTAGGCCGATCTACTCTGCCTCTCTTATCAGAGTCTTAGCGAGTTTCTCAATGTCCACTTGATTACTGCCAAGGGCAGCTTTATCATCTGTGTATCCAAGGATTTTATGATTCATTCCGATGTGGATCCCTCTATTTTCCTGTGATGTTCTTATTACCTTCTTCAGGACTAAGTTTAACAACATCGGCGATAGTCCATCTCCCTGCCTTAAGCCTGTTTGAACTTTAAAGGCTTCAGATACTTCTCGTTGTATTAGAACTCTACCTATATTTAGGGTCATTTGTACACACCTTTGTCAATCCCACCAACTTAATGGTAACTCCCAGTTCAGTCATAATTTTCCAAAGACAGCTTCTGTCCACAGAATCATAGGCTGCTTTGATATTGACAAATAGGACATGGATGTCCTGATCTACTTCCTATCGTTTTTCAAATGCTTGTTTTAGGATGAAGATCTGGTCTAGTGAGCTCCTTCCTTTTCTGAATCCAGCTTGGCGGTTGCCTATTATATTTTTGTAATATGGATATATCCGGTTTAGTAAGATATTGGTCATTATCTTGTAGGCAACTGCATGGAGTGCTATGCCTCTGTAATTACTACTCATACATGGAGCCTTTCTTTAGAATAGGACGGATTAGATCCGTATTCCAAATATCAGGTATCCTTTCCTCTTCCCATATTTTCTGGATTAGTTGTAGTAGCTTGACTCATAAGTTATTTCCCCATCTTTAAACAGTTCTGATGGTAGGTTTCTACAGACTACTGTATCAAAATCAAACAATACTTAAACCTGAACTTATTATTATAACAAAATCTAACCATGAATCATACAATTCCTGTGGGATCTACAGACAATATATATGTCTATTTCACCAAAAATCAGAATTGGTCGAGATGATTATTACCCACATAATAGACATGTAGTGAAGTAATATATTGTTCAAAAGATTAGACTTTTGTCAGTCTGTTTCAAATATTTTCTCTCTCTCTCTCCTCTGATATAAAATGTTATATTTTCAGAATAAATTAAAAGCTAAAAAATATACTGAACTTGTTTACCATTTCAACAACTTCGACTTCTGCTTCAATTCTAAGGTGATATAAAAATTTTTTTAGATCTTCCTTCATTTGAATGGAATTATCTTCCATTTGAGCAACAGTAAAGATCCTTAGTTTACAATTTTTCCAAGTTCGATGTTGCTTAAGTAAAAATGGTAGAAGCATTAATAAACCACCATCATGGACAATCCACCAAACATCAATGTTGCCGTTCATCTGTAATCATAAGTATATGAAATAATGCAAACATTGTTCAAAGAAATTATATATTTATTTTACATTTAATTTTTAAAACATACCTTCATGGTAGAATTTGGGAAGAAATTAATTCCTTTAGGAACAAGTAGGGCCATACGGGCAGCAGCAACACTTCTGACAGTTTTCAAAAATGTAGCCCAAGTTCGTTCATGATTTGCTTGTTTCCAACAATAAGGCCAACCAAGTATTACTGTGTTTGGTTTCATTCCACCAAGACCAGTTGTTTGAACCCTTAAGTGATATATAAAATTTGAGGAGGCAAGGAACATAGTTTGATTGTAAATTATTTCATGTTTTTATATTTGTATGCTCAATCATCACATTATTAAAAAAAAATTGAAGTCATAACTTTTTGATCTAATTTTTAAAATCGTTTTGGACTAGACAGTGAACTATTTTTATGCAATGGTAGAAATTTTAAGCATGTGAAGTCATTTATAAATGATATAGAAATTCACATGGAAGTATTTATAAATATACTTACAAATGACTTATACCCTCAGGGACATTATTTGCAACCAGAATATCAACAAATCCTTTAACTTTCTCTTCCTCCATTACTTTCCTTAGACTACGCTTAGCAGCCATTGCCTCTCCTGCACAACCACAGAATTCTCCAGGTATGACAGCTACACAAATTGTCAATCCCTTACCTAAAATTAATTTAAATATTTTAATGAATATGAATGTATTATATCAAATTTTCTAATAATTTGATTAATTTAAAGTAAAAATAATGTTTACAACATGAACAAGAAAGAGAACTACAATAAAATTGTATGGCTGCCCAACTATGTAGAGTTGCTTAATCGCACAGCATACTCACCAGTCCATCAGATACAATTTTCAAAAAAGAGAGAGAGAGAGAGTTTGGTAGGGCTATTGTAATATAAATCAATTTAGTTTTATTCCGTGTCTATTTAATTGATAAATATTTTGTTTAACATTCTTTTTTATTTCAATTTATTTGGCCTAACGTCTGAGTTTTTTATAAGTGTATCTTTTGATATTGTAAAATAACAGGAGTAACCTTTTAGAAAAAAAAAAAAACAAATAAAAGAAAGCTGACATAAATTTAAATTAAAAAGAGAATATAATATTACATAAAAATCATAAAAAAATATTAAGTTTTACTTTCACTTGCCTATATATGAAATATATAGTAAAGGGAAGTATTGGGATTGTGAAAATTTTTTAATCCAAGTTTTCAACGGAAATAAATGTTTTGAGGTCCCCTCAATCCAAATAATTAAGTTTCACAAATTGGTCTGTATGTGTGCGTGTATGTTTGTTAACAGTGTCAATCAAAAAAGAAAAATTGTAAAAAGCTAAATTGCATATTTAAGGTTTGTATAATCCTGGTACGACACAGCAACTTTTTTGTCAAAATCGTCTAGCTTTTGTATATAGATTTAACACATTTTTACGATTTTCTCGAAAATTGGTCAAACAATTTTATTTACATTCATTACATCAGAGTAAAATTAAGTAGTTTTTAATATAATGCATGTCTTATATTCATTGATGTTCACTAACAGGGATTAAATGCCTAATTTTTAAAATTTCTCCCTCTAAAGTATCTTTAATTTTTTTAATTGGAAATAATTAACTATTTCACATTTTAAGCTGGTATAAAAAATGGTTAAATATAAAATATGAAAGAATTTGATAAATAAATAAAGCAGAAATAAAAGATTGTAATGGAGAGTAGTAGTAATAGATGGACTGAAGAAACCTGAGCGCACCCAAATTTGGACAAAAGGTCAGAGTAGGCTTCCATACGTAACAAGGGCTTAATATAATACATTAGAGGGTTTTGAAAAAATGGTACTTAATTATTTTAAATAATATTTTTTACCATCTTTAATTTTTACTTTGCTTCCCTTTCTCAGAAAATATCAGTTTCTGCTAAAAGAACAGATGGTAAGTGAAAGTTGTGTGATGTGCGAACCACATCTGGTGTTTTTCTGGGGTTTTTTCCCGATGAGCCTCAATAGTAGTTTCTGCTACGGATTTTAGCGACTCCCTTTCAACATCAAGCTTCTCCAAGAAATTACTTCTAGTAAGAGGGATAGTTCTCCTAATTAGAAATGACATTTCTTCAACTGAAAATTTTCTCTCACCGAATTTATCTCTATATTTTTCTTGTAGGTATGGTATGAATTTTGTACAGATTTCCTCTTTTTCTGCCAGTATCTTGAGGTCTTGATCGTGATAAGTCATTTTAGACCTGATCGTATAATATTCTGCCTCCTTATATATACTATAATAGTGCCTCCTTTCCTGTTAAACTAAATACTAAAATATCCAAAAATCTAGTTGAACCTTCTGGTCTAGGCAATTGTAAAATAGAGAACAAATGTAAACCCATTGGCATTAACTAGAAAGAAACACATTCCACTATAATTTATCGTATGCAGATGAACAATTTATCTTTGTTCAGGATAATGAAGATGTTATCTAGGGTCTAGTTATAAATGATACACTAACCATAATGTAGTCGACTTTTAAAGGTTACTTCAAAATTTAAGTGAATAGGACTTTTAAAAACTCTAGGTTCTCAGAAAGAAAAATTAGAGAAAATTAGTATATATTTCTCATCCTGTTGTTAATATTAATAGCAAGGGCACGAGAAGAAAATTAGCTAAAAAAATAATCTTTCCAGGCTTGTAGATGATTTCGAATGTGAACTTACATAATTAGAGAAGCATGAGTTGTAATCTTTTTTGCCCACTCACAAGAAATTTCTGGATAATAATATCATCAAAAGTTAAATACACTTGTGCTTATATTAAATCCAGTCTTAATTTTTTTGTTTCAACATTTCTGGCCTGCTTATCAGTTACACACATCTGTGCAGCCACATCAAAGGTTAAATTTTTTTTTTGCTTACAACCATTTGATACACCTGCCACCAGTCAATCACAAATTGGCCGTTCCTCAAATTCTCATTCAGTGAAGTTCCAGCAGGACTTAAAAATCACAGTTGGTTGCTATTTCACAAAGCCTCTTTATAAAATCATTACAGATTTCTTCATGACCACAGATTGCACTTTTGAATAAGTAATTTTCAAAAGTAATATTCTAGGACTGTTTAAGTAGTTAACTAACTCTGAAGTAACTGTCTCAATGGATTCTGGATCTCCACAAAGCTTCTTACTTAGTCTTGAGGTGTTACCTCCAATCGCAGAAATAAACAAGGCCAGAGGAACCTTTTTGGTTGATATATTAGCCCCTCTCAATCTATAAGTCTTCACTAAGGTAATGTACTTCTTCCATTTTAGTTTGAATAGCGACCTTAATGTACCATATGTTTCCGATTTAGCTCAATCCTGATACTTATCCTTCCATAATAAACTTCTGAATCATCTGAACCCTCTTGTTTCCAACTTTGCTTCCTCTTCTATTCCTGATAACACAGGTGGATTAATGGGGGGGGGGGAGTTTCAGGCTGAAGCCCCCCCAAATGGTAAAATGTAACCATGTTTTATGGTAAAAGATATTAAAAAATTATGTCTTAAAGTATTATTGCTCGTTTAATTACATTTAATAGGACTTCCAGAATCACTTAAACACCATTTTATATAGGTAGTTAGTATCTTTCTGTTTTTCCAAAGTAATTATCGTTATATATATGAAAAAAAAAGCTTCCGGGCTGAAGCCCCCCCTCAAATTAAATCCTGGATCTGCTAGTGCCTGATAACCCTCTGTTGCGTCTGAAAAGAAGACGGCCTCGGGCCCTTCTAATATAGAAATATAATTGGAGTGCTACCAATGGGTAGTTTCTCTTCATGTTGTACATGTTATGTTACTTATTTCATATTTACTTGTTGTATTTATCATTTAATACAGTTGTAAATTTCAATAATAAAAAAAAAATTGAATAGTTTTCAATTTCCCACAGCAGCATTTTGTCAACTATTTCGGAAACGTCAGGTGTAGGAATATTATTCATATTTAAAGGGATCTAAATATATCAGGCACTATGTTTTGTATATAGAATAATATGTTGTAATATATTATAAATAATTCTATTTATAAATATTATTAATTTCAGAGATTGGAAAGCACACACATTAACTGAACAAATATAAAATTCATAAATATGTCAATTACAGATTGAGATAATAGAATGACCTCAGTAATAACATCTCTCAACATGGAGAAAACAAGAAATTAACATTTTAAAGTTATTAAGTTTATATAAATACTGCTTACTGTAATATATATCTGTCCATAAATCATTTTTAAAAAAAAGTTTAAAACACATTTACCTGCTTTCAATTGTGATGCAAAAGTGAAAACTTTTCGATATTTTGGAATATATTCATCAGTTAGTTCACTTAAAATAAGAATTTGTGGTCTCCAATTTTTAGTATGAGGAGGTCCCTCTTCTAAGCGCAACAGGCTATAACGAGCAGCAGATAAAGCTAGACCTCTTATACCATCACCCCATTCTTTTTCAGCTCTGAATTAAAGAAAGAAATGTTAATACATTATTTGTCAACAAAGTGAAACAAGTGGATACAATTGAACAAACCCTCGATATTCAATGTATTTATATATTAAACCAGCCATTCCCATTGCAGCAAGGGCATAATACCAACTAGACATGAACATCACAGCAATACAAAGAGATAAACCAATAAAGGAGAGAGACCTGTAAAAAATAACAAGTTTATTTAGAATTCCCTAGTAGAGTTAAATATTATCCTTAGTATGATACATTGATTTCTTCATTTTTTTTTCAAATATAAAGTTAAGCCTATTAATTTAAAGAATACAGTGCAATCTTGACAGTCCAACATTTGTTAATTCAATATGATTGGTAAACCAACTAGCATAATGACATCTAAGGGAATAATATTTTGACCAGTCATAGCAGTAGAAGTGGAGAAGCGAAAGATAAATTTGTGTTCCTGTCATAATATGTCCATTGATTATTGATAACTCATCCTTATAACAGTTATTATGTTTTACTAATGAACAAATGTTGATAAAACAAAATTACCTTTGCATTATTTTGAACTTAATTATTTTTTTTGTGTTGTTTAAGTAGGACCCTCAGTAGTCCAGATTATTTGATAATTCGACCACAAGTAGGCCCTATATGTGTTGAATTATCAAAATTAGACTGTATAAATATTTTTTATAACATTAAATATTTTCAACAATATGTATAGCATTTCTAAGTCTAATTTAGAATTTCGCAAACCAAATTGGGATTTTTTCAAATCAAATTTAGAACTTTTGAAACCAAACTGGGATTTTTTCAAATTAAATTTAGAAGTTTCCAAAGTAAATTGAGATTTTTTCAAATCAAATTTAGAATTTTACATTTCAAATTAAGATTTTTCCAAATAAATTTAAGAATTTTACATTTCAAATTAAGATTTTCCAAATAAATTTAAGAATTTTTATAACTACAAATGGATAGGATTTATATGGATGGATAGCGTTTAAAGGCCAATTTTATTTTCTTGATGAGGCAGGTTTTAATCTTCATCTTTGAAGGAACCATGCGAGGTTAAGAGTAAATAAGTATGGAATCGTAAAAGATTCGACTGTTCGAGGGAGAAACGTAACACTTGTATTGACCATCAGTAATGAAAACGTGGCACATTTTAAGTTAATTTCAAAAGAAAATTTTCATACTGTTCGAATCAATGATTTTTGTCACTCTACGAGAAGATTACTGGTACTCTATAAAGTATTTTGGTGATGGAAAATGCAAGGACTCACGAGCTGCAGATGTAAAAGAAAAGATGCAAAAACTCTGTCTCACAGTGAGGTACCATCATGCCTACTCTCCTCCTTTAAATCCGGTAGAGAAATCCTTCTCCAAAATATATAAAAATTTGGCAAATTAACCAAAACACTTTGCAGAGTACCAATAATCACCTCATGGAGTTCTGACAAAAAATCATTGAATCGAACAGCATTACAATTTGTGTTTGAGATTACCTTAAAATATGCCACCTTTTCGTTACTTATAGTCAATACAAGTGTTGCGTTTCTCCCTCTAACAGTAGAAACTTTACTATAGCAGGTATATTTACTCTTGACCTTGCATGGTTCCTTCGAAGATGAAGATTAAAACCTGTCTCATCAAGAAAATAAAATTGTTCTTTAAACGCCATAATGACTAACCTTATTACTCATAATAGGTACTACGTCTATGGAATTTAATAAGAAAACTAAAATATCCTATCCATTTGTAGTTATAAAAATTCTTAAATTTATTTGGAAAAATCTTAATTTGAAATGTAAAATTCTAAATTTGATTTGAAAAATCCCAATTTGCTTTGGACACTTCTAAATTTGATTTGAAAAAATTCCAGTTTGGTTTGGAAAGTTCTAAATTTGATTTGAAAAATCCTCATTTGGTTTGAAAAATTCTGAATTAGACTTGGAAGTGCTATATATATAAATAGTTACCAGTGATAGTATTTGAAACGTGGCCTCCAGTTCGGTGTTCTTAATAAGGTTTGCAGAGCACAAGCAAGATTTACAAATCCATAACACATAAGAAAAAACATAGAAAGTAGAGGAGCCAAATAATCAACATTTCCAAGTAAGATTCCACATTGACATATAAGGCAAGTTAATAGCAAAGCTCTTGTAGGTTCACCTCGCTTTGAAGAAACTGCAAATGGAGCTAAAAATGGTATAATACCGTCCTTAGCAATTGCCTGAAAATGAAAAAAACAAGTATTTATATTCTTATCCTAAGGAAATTGATTTGTATTGATATATAAGTATATCTAAATACTTGTAAAAGTCTTGGAGCTCCAGTTAAACTTTGTAGACCAGCACCAAGAGTGGAGAGAAATGATCCAATTAGAATCACCCATTCATTAGGCCAAGCCATATTTGCAACAACTAGTCTACCACCAATACTTTGTCCAAATCTAAAAAAAAATTGATTACATCATTTACTGATTTGTCATCAGTTACATTTAACTGAACTCATCAATGAAAATTAATAATATTACTTATCACGGAGTAACAAGTTATCCACAGTCCCAGCAAATAATAAAACAGCAGATAAGTAGACAAAAGAAGTTGTTGAAATTGCACATATTGTACCAATAGGAATAGATTTTTGAGCGTCTGCTAAATCTCCAGAACGGTTTGAACCAGCCATAATTCCTTGTTATTGAAAAAGAAAATAATAACAAATTATTAAAAAAATATGAATCTAAAATTAAACGCACATTAGCATATATGAACCATAATTAGTATATAACAGGAGATTCCAATCTTACATGAACCAGCAGAATGAAGTAATCAAATATTATAAATAAATATTAGATTTATACTTGTGAAACTGAAAACTTACAATTAAAAAAATAAGCGAAGCAATCTCTTAAGGTCTAGTTGAAAAAGAGTTATGAAAAATCATATTATGATGGGTTAAAAAAGAAAGACAGCAAAAATGAAGACTTTCTATAATTTCTACTGGATTAGTGAGGACATATTATATTGGTTGAAGGTATTTTGGAAAAATGAGATTAATTGTAATCAAGTGCTTTTTTAACACTGTTAAACATTATAATATCAATAAACTTCAAGATAGGAAAATATAATAATTATTTTGTACAAAATTTGATTGAAAAACAATATGAACAATAGCTGATGAATGAATACAAACCAGTCACTGAAGGAAAGAAAATTCCAATCAAGATGGTAAAAGTAGTGGTAAGATCGGCAGTAACTTGATTGTATATTTTATTTTGTACAACATTAATTTCTTCCGGATCCTTGCTTGTAGCTATATACTGACCCTCATTCAAAAAGAAATCTCCTAAATTATCTAATAAAAAAACATGAAATAATATTAAGTGCTATTACTATTAAAAGTCATCTCTATATTTATATATATATATATATATATATATATATATATATATATATATATATATATATATATATATATATATATTAAATTCAAATTTAAGTTTTAATTAATAAAACGATTACATAAAATGTTTTACCACCTACCAAAAAACACTCCACTTGCTAATCCCTTTATTCCCCGAGTGATTGTTACATCATGTTTTTCAAAGTATGGATCGCAACCTGACTTTGTACCATTGGGACAAAACAAATTATACAGTTCACCTCCAACAGTTTTGTTGCACCTATCAATAGCAATGTCTTTCAGCAAGCGGTTTCCTAGCACACAAATCCTGTTTGACATTTAAAATTTTAATATGTAAAACTTTTTGATAGTATAATTTAAAGATCAAATCTATAATAAGTTATCTTACTTCAATTTATCACTTCCATAAATATTTGAGAATATTCCGACATAAACGGCTACAATAGACAGTATTACACAAGCTAATGCAACTCCAGCAAACTTATTGACAAACTTCACACCAATAAATACTATGGTGCCCATTACTACTAACAGGCAAGTGCCATAAACACGGAAGTTGTTATACATTATTTCAACATCTTTTGTAAAATCACCAAAAATAGATAATTCAGGAGCCATATATGTCTAAAACAAAATTGGCAGTTATTTAAACTGAATTAAATAATTAAAAAAAAAACATTAGTATAAAATAATTGAACGAATTTGATCATGATAATGAGCAAAAACGTTTTTGAGGAATTCAAGACTACAAAATTGATTGAATACATATATATGTGAAGAGTCAACCATTAAAGTAATAAAGGATTTTTTTCTTTCATTGATCAAATTATGTAAAATGGAAAATAAATAATATTTTTAATGGAAAACTCAGTTCACAAATTTATTATAAATAATAAAAAAATAATAAATCTTCATAAAATAATCAAATTATTATTAAATCATGGTTTACAAAGAAGAAAGTAAGAATGCATAAAACTATAATGTATCTATCGGTAGTCTGGAATATATTTCTTAGTCAAAGGGTTAATTGTTTTATTATATATTTATTTAAACTCTATTTTCCTATTTATTCATAAATATTTGATTGTTAACACTGATGGGATAAACATACCAACACAATCTCAACTGCACCAATGATATACATGGCTGCTGCTAGAGTAGTTCCAGTGTAAAAGAGCATTCCAACAGCACCTCCAAATTCAGGTCCAAGAGAGCGTGATATCATGAAATAAGAACCACCAGCTGGTACTACCCCATTCGTAGCAATGGCACTCATAGAAATTGCAGTTAGCATAGTCTAAAGAAATAAAATGATATATTATGAAACTTCTTTTCTATTAACATGAAAACTAATAATTTAAAAATAAAAATAAAGAAAGTATATCTGAAATCAAATCCTTTCAAATTAATAAGAATATTAATTTCATATAATTTCTTTAAATTTCATATAATACACATTTAATAAGTATGCTATAATGCTTCAGCAAATTATGAAAAAATTGTAAGCTGAAGTATGAATCAGTAATTTATCATGGAACGTAAAGAAGATTTTGATTAAGCAACTAAAACATTTGTCATCAAGACTGCTCAGAGATAAATAACTGAAATCTCAATTAAAAAAAAAAAAACACCTACATTTCTTATTTATCTAATGTAGAAATAAGGACAAATTATATTGGGTATTCACTTTGATTTGGCAATTAAAGAGGTTTTGAATCAATTAAATCCTATGATATCTTTCATATTACTATCTATTGGTTGGTTACAAACTGCGTTGAACATTGAATTTAGTTGAAGAATATGTAATTCTTAACAATTATCCCCTTGTTTTCTCTGTTTAATTTGCATAAAACCTGAATAATGAATTTGATTAAGGCTTCAGGATAAATATGAAATCAGACTCGTTATATTTATAAATCTTTTCTCAAAGTGAAGTATCTGTTGGGTTGTTCAGAAAATAATGCAGGATTTTGAGTTTCCTTTAAAATATCCCTCTATATAAAAAACTGTTTACATTTACTGGATTATTCATTTGTATGAATGTCAACACTTATTAATCCTCTAACGAACAATAATGTTTGTTTAGCTCTGTAGCATTTTGCTTCTTAGAAATAATTCAGTCTTTCTTAAGATGTCAACGCTTGATTTTCGTATAATTTTGTTTTACTCGGACGGAATGGAGCAGAGACGGCCAGAAACATCAATCAAGTCTGGGACGAGAGCAGCATCATAATGAGTGCACTGTTCAACAGTGGTTCAAAAAATTTCAGGAGGGAGACTTCAGCTTTGAAGACAAGAAGGTCGATGAAGGACTTCCTCTCTTGATGACGATGTTATGCGGGTTTGGTAGAAGAAAACTCCAGAACAACTATTCAAGAACTTGCAGTGCAACTTAACCTTAGCAAATCGACCGTCGATGACCATCTCAAGGAGATTGGAAAGGTAAAAAAGCTTGAAAGTTGGGTTCCACACACATTAAATGTAGTTTGTGCTACACTTCTTTGCCGAAACAAAAACGAACCTTTTCTCTCCAAAATAGTTACTTTTGATGAAAAGTTGAAACATTTAGATAACATTAGACGTTCTGGACAGTGGTTCAACAAAGAAGCAGCAGAACATTTTCCAAAGCCCTCAAATCATCAAAAAAAGGTGATGGTTAATGTTTGTTGGGCTTCATTTGGATTGATACACTACAGCTTCTTAAATCCTGGAGAAGCCATCGATGTCGAATCGTATTGTAACCAAATTAATGCAATTCATCAGAAATTGGCAATAATGAAGCCATCTTTGGTCAATCGGAAGGAGCCCATTTTGTTGCACCACTACGCCCGGCCACATGTCTCACGTATGACGTCAGAAAAACTGTAAAAGCTTGCACATGAAACTCAGCCACATCAGTCCTACTCTTCGGACCTCTCACCTACGGATTATAACTTTTTTAGACATCTGGACCACTACTAACGTGTAAATAAATTTAATGGACAAAGAGAATTAGAAAATGCGTTTTTTGGAGTTTATCAATTCTAAAGATGGGAAATTCTATTCCGAGGGAACAGAAAAGTTGTCAACACGTTAGCAGAAGTGTATTAATAGTAGTGAAGACTATTTTGATTACATAAAACATTTATAAATCTTTCTTTTTAAACCAAAATTCTGCATTATTTTCCGGACGACCCAATAAAAGTTTACAGTTTACACATTAAAATAAAAATAATTTTATATTCCTCCCCCCCCCAAATTTCTGAATTGAAATAAAAACAATAAATATAAAACATACCACACAACAACATAAAAGAACAATAGAGAATCCTTGCACTGCACCAGCAGTTCCAACAACCCACGTCAAACGGATGAAGAGAATAACACCAAAAATGTTCTGAATGCAAGGCAAATAGACACCAACAAGAGTCCCCATAGAAGCTCCACCAGTCTGAGGTTTGACATCTGGGTCTTCTGCAGCAGGAATAGTGTTGGAGTAGTTGGCCAGAGAGCTGATGAGTGTTGAGATCCGGGGTCTCTCCTCCATCTCCTCCTAAAAATATACAAGCCATTAAAATAGTCTTAATCCATTTTTTATCAAACATTGTATTATAAACCAACAGAATAACGCAATAATACAATAAAACAATAAAGTATATATTATTACTATAATGATATTAATACTATATAAAAATATTAATCTGTAGCTCAATTGAGAATTTTTTAAATTATTATCTATAGTAAAATGTATTAAAAAACGACCATTTGAAGTTATTATGTTCAAATAAATATTTTGGATTGTATTTCAAGATGTTTTAGTTGTTTTTAAGTGGAAATAGTTCCTGTAACAACCAGGGCTTCATTAAGTGGACAAAGTGAACAAAAATCATATTAATATGACAACTAGCATACTGGTGTAATGAAGTTTTTTTTTTGGTAATTGACATACTTACTTATAATTTCCTAGGATGGCAAAACTTGGTTAAAAGCATTAATATATATTTAATGTTATAGTAAACTTTATATTTCAGAATTATTGTAGTAATATTTATTGTTTTAGAATAAATTATTATTTTCTCAAGGGATTTTTTTTTTCAATTACTCACAACTACAATTATTAAAAAATATTTTAATTTTAGAACGAAATTTATAATTTACAGGAAATGTTATTATGTTAGTGATTAGCTATTAATTGAAAAAATAAATTCAACTAGGGAAATATAAGCTGTATAAAATTTAAAATTATAACCTTTAATTTTAATGAATTTGAAAGTTAGAATACAGAAATAAGTATGCATATAGATAAAATGTTTTGCTAGAATAAACCATTATTAATTATTACTAGTTTGGATTACCAACTAATTAGTAAGTCTTGGTCTATCCTCTTAAGGGTAATCATGAGATAGTTTGATTTCTGAATTTAAAAAAACTTGTAATTCAATCATGGTATTTTGCTATTCAGATTTTGAAATTGGTTATGTTAATTATCAATCATAATTTCTATAAATATTATAAATTCCCAAAGACTTTTTTGAGGAGGGAGGAGTGGTCCTATGCCTCCCCTACAACCAGAATGGGAAGTATACGTCTGTATGGTTTGCCATAGCCATTATGGAAAGCAAACTTTACAAGAAATTACTTTTACCCAGTAAGAAAAAACAGGTTCCCAGGAATCCCTCCTGTAATCTATACCTGCACTCTGCACATCTGCTACAAGCAGTAACATAAGTTAGCCAAAGTACTGCCCCTCAGACCCAAGATGAAGGACCTGTAGAGTTGGTTGTACCAAACTGTGTATTGCACAATTTTCTTGCTCATTTTTCCATACTTCGATTGTGGCTACCTGTTATAAGGTGAATTGTCTGGTGGACATGAGATTAGTTAGAAGAAACTAATGAATTGTTTCATTAGATTCATCTTTGGAGTCCACAGACGATTCCACCACTTGAACAAATAAAAAGTATGTTTTTCTTCGATTTTTTTCCGTAACACGAATGTTTCACAGAACTCATACAGCTTACTCAATACCAATTAGATCTTCCTAACCGTTGCAGTTCATAGTTTGTTTTGCTGGGGTTGTAAGGCTCAAAACATCCAGGTCATCAACGCCTGCAAATTAATTTTGTTAAATCTGTATTAAATGTTTAAGATTTTAAATCTTTTTAAACAAATCGTTTGATTTCAAGAAACTTAAAACTAACTTAAATGTGTCTTCGCCATCCCTCAAAATATTTCCTACTGGAGGTGTAAGTCCTGAACTATTCACAATCAATAACTAAAAATGACACTCCTGTAAAACGTGTCTCAGTGTAAGTGTATTATTGCACTGTTGGCTATTTGCTAATGAGTTGTGAATGGATAAGGTTGGTGTGGCCTATTCTCAGGCTGGCCAAGACAACCTCCTCTCTGCGGATATAACGATTTCATGTTGAGCATGGCTTTATTGTTTCTTTTAATATCTTTTAATTTGCTTGGCGGACTCTCATTCCACATAGACTGCAAGCCATGAGTTATTTCTTTTTTGAGGGGAAGACTTGTATCTTGTGGCTTTAGAATGGCAGAGCCCGGGCCTGGAAGGGTAAGTGCTTGTTTCGCTGCTACATCCGCGAGCTCATAGTTTGTTACAGTAATTGTAATTTAAATTGAAATAACGCCGACAAATATTCAAATATAGTTTTCCGCAGAACTAAAAGGGCCGCCACTTCTGTATGTTCACACTGCCTCTATCAAGTCATTGTGGATTGAGCGGCACAATCGTTCGCTCTACCGAAAACTATAGGAACTAACTGAACACCTAGCGATCCGAGAGAGAACATAACAAAATTGCAGGCTTTATTAGCTGCAGCAGAGAATACGTTGCTTATTCCTGCCTTACTTCTTATGTAAATAAATGTATGATATAGTTGAAATTTAAATATTACAGAAATATATATGGGGGAAGAGGAGTTGAAGTTGTAACTCAATTTTTTTTTTTTGTCCAAAAAATGAATGTTTTGCGACCGTATGTTACTCATACATCATCAAAGTATACACTATACTCATAAATAATATATGGATAGGTTATATATACATATATTTGTAAATATATTGATAGGACACCTTTCAATTTTATCTTCTTCTTCGATAGAGCTACAACTCATTAGGGGTCTTGACTTTCTCCAAAAGTATGCGCCATGCGTTTCAATTCTGTGCTGCTGTCATCCAGTTTCGCACCTTCTTATATTTTCTTGTTTCATGGATTACACAATATGCCCACCACAGCTACGGCCTTCCAACTCTGCGACGACTTAAAAGGGGCTTGAAAACAATTTTCTTAGGAGGTATATAGGCAGACATTCTGGCTATATGTTCTGCCCATCTCAGCTTTTCAAGCTTGATGGAATATGATACATCCGGCCGATGATATAAAACATTTAGCTTCCGGTTGGTTCTTCGTCTCCATTTATTATTCTTGTAAATTCCGCCATAATTTCAGCGTAACGACTTCCCTTCAAATGTGAGGAGGAGTTGGTCTTTACTCTTGTTGAGGTACATGTTTCCGAGAATTGAGATAGCACTGGACGAATGAGAGTTCTATATGATTGTGGGTAATTTTTGTTAGTCTGATAATCAGAGATGCTTCCGGATTCCAAAAGAGCAACGATTGGCCGACAAAATTCTCCACCTAATCTCCACTACTACAACGTTGTTGCAGGCTACTATTGATCCCAGATAAACAAATTTTGAGACTTGTTCAAACCTGTAGGGGCCAAATTAAACAGTGGTACCAGTCCTTGGAGCTTGACTCGGTAACCAAATAATTGGTTTTAACTTTATTCTCAATCAGCTTCGCTATCTTTAATCACACCGTAATATTTATCGTATACGTATATCGAGATCTGTACTGATCTGCTCCACACCGTACCTGAAGTTTGAATCTGAGAGTATCTTGTTGTTTTCTCCAGTGTCATATTAAAAAGTACGCATGCCAGGGTGTTTCCTTACCTTACTTCTTCCCTGGATGGAAACGTCAATGATCTTCGCCCATGAACCTGTACCACACATTCAATATTTTCCATTGCCAACTTCTTCTCTTCGCTTACTTCCCATGATTTCCCAGGAATATCATTCTAAGCCTTTCTTTTTCTTACCTACACATATCATAGCAAAAAAATATGCAGTATTAAGGCGTTCTAATACCTTTTGACCCACCTCGAGACGTGATCTAAAAACCTTATGTTAATAAACATATCTAACTTATGAAACTTGTATTTTTTTTTAAATAGTATGTTTGGAGCTGGTTGGAATGAAAATAGAAGGGGGCTGGTTTCACAGGATTTAGATGTCAAGTATAAAAAAACATAACAGAGGTATCAACTGATAAACAATAATAACTTGTAACTTAACATTTAAATAGTAATGATATCTCCTTTAACTTCTAATTTATTTAAATGCGAAAAAAAATTGCAATTTTAAATATATCATCACCATCCTGTAAAACATGATAATGGTATATAAATGATTAGCCGCGGTTACTTTATATTATCTACCTTTCAACAAATTGATCGGATTCAAAAGTTATCTTGAAGTGTTATTTTATCCCAAGATGGAAAATCTATATTTTCCAAGTATCTTTTCTTGCTTATGTGTTAAGCATGATTTGCAGCCTTCTGAATCGACTCTATCGCGAGGGGTTACTATGGATTATAGTGCTTTTATTATTACCTGTTATACTTATGAAATATTTCAACTCTTTTTAGTACACAGGGTGTTCCGTAAGTGGAGAGAAATATTTAAAAAGTAGATAGTAGAAACCAAGATCTACAAAAAAATTCATATAAACAATAGCCCAATTTCCAGCAGAAAAGTAGGAAATTTAAGATTTGTGTTTTCTTTTTAAATGAGTCGCGTTTTTTATTGACTATGAAGCGATAAGTAAAAACATATTTGATTTATATAATTAAACATTGCTGCATATTAAACTAGATAAAATGTACTTCAAATGAAGATAGATTTTTCCATTGTTAAAACCAGAGAGAAACACTTTATTTTCATAAAATATAAAATATAAAGGATTGCTGCCCAATTATATTGGGTTGCTATACACACAGCATACTCTTTTATCCTTAGGACAATATATGAACTTATATATAAATATACAGAAGTTTTAGTTAATATTAGTAAAATAGATGTATATATATACATTTTTATTTTATTTTTTTCCTTTTTCCTTCCTTTCATTGTTATGCTTTTTTTTTTTTTTTTTTTAACATTTAGTTTCCCTTTCTCTCACTTCTCTCTCTTTATCTCTATTGTTTTCAATTATTCATTAAATAAATAAATACATAAATTAAAACTCTCGGGCTAGCCATGCACGTGGTGGTGAATGATTCCCAGGGAGTCGAGGACTATATTTTCAGCCAACCTCGCTACGTCCTTAATGTCGACACCTAGTTCCTCGAGGAAGCTCCTTGTTCTTTTTGGGATAGTTCCGCGAGACCCAAACCAGAGGCCTCTCACGGTGAACTCTCTCTCTCCGAAGGTCTCACGGAATTTATCTTTTAGGAAAGGGATACATTTATCGTACGTGTTCTTCTTTTCCCTTTCCACTTCACCCGCCTGATCGAGGTCATTGCTCTCAAAGCGGACAGTTGGATCCAAGATCAGCGCTGTCCTTCCTGTCTTGGGGAAATGCGACGATCATCCGCGTATCTCGTAGAGCCTTCACTATAGAAGCCTTTTGTTCTTATTACTGATTTTTTTTTCCCTCTAGATTGTTAATAACGAAAACAGGTTGTCGTTATTACCAGTAGCGTATAAGATTATTTCTCTGTGCACTTTTATCCATTCCCTTGGCTCATTTTTTATTAATATTAAGTTCCTCTTGGACTTTAGCAATGTGGCCTAATGTTAAGGCTGATATCAACTTATAGGCTAGATGGATCTTCGGCCATGCAATCACTAATCGTATACTTTAAATAGTGCTCCAATACGGTATCAGCGGTAAGGAACTCACCCTATCCCCAATACGTAAATCGGTTTACTAGTTCACAACCTTACCTCCCTTCAACCTCTTTTAATCCCAACAACTCTAACCACAATACAACATTTAACCTTAACCTTCCTAATGTTTTTCAATATTCCTTATTAAATTTTCCACATCCATCATAAAATCCACTCCACAACCATAAAACCCAACTATACTAATCCTAATAAAAAATCAAAACACCAATTTGAATAAACCACATAATAACCATCAAAAAAATCCAACACCCTTACAATACCATATCATCAAACATCCCACCAAAAACCAAACAGACCTTTTCAAACATCAATTCCATTAAAACAAAAAAAATCAAAATATCCAAAAACATAATTAATTACACTATCACACCAATTTTTTCAATAAAATCATAACTGTATTAACAAATACAATAACTAAATGTATAAAGAGTTTTTTATTAATCTTGGATAATAAATAATCGACTGGCGTTATTGTGTCATTTCGTTAAAATAAAAAAATAAAAAAATCGTGTTTATTTTCGAGCAAGGAATTAACGTATTGAGGGAAAGAATGAAGAAGAGATATCTGATATTCCAAGATAATGAATAGTGGAATCATAAATAAGAAAAATTATTGTGAAATAGCATTCAGAGATGTAATAATAAATGTTTTTATCATTAATATTCCTTTTTCATCATATATATAATATATGTGCATGTTCGATTCCGGTTTATAATGTGTAGTCTAAATTTCGAATTTTAGTCAATACTTTTAAATACGTTAATATAACTGACAACATGGTTAAAGGTTATAGTACTTAAAATGGCGGGAAGTTAATCGTAACAATTCAAGAGATCGGTCGCCTTCGTTCTCTGTCGGTTAAACCGAAGGCATTCGGGAATTCCATGAACAAGTGTGACCGAAGTGATTGTGAACATGCGTAATCCGTGCGGAACTCTTTGTGAACTTAGTTACCGAAATCGGTATACCCAGCAAGCTCAGGAAGATTTTCCGAATCACGGTGGAGGGCATAGAATGTCATGCAAGGGTCCAGGCTGGAATAATCAATCAACTTATCACTGATAAGGCCCTGTACCCTTACCAGAGATAAATTAATGAACGATAAGGAAATACGTTAGCCACCTTCATTTTCTTTTAAATATCGGCCATGAGAAAGTTATCAGCACAATATTCAACCGAAGTTTACACCTGCTCGCTGATGATATTGGTATACTGGGGCTATCATTTCAGGCTGTTCTATGCATTCCTTACACTCGCAAATGCCGATGGGAGAACGGGTATGGTGATAAACAAATTCAAAGTTAATAGTAACTGACCAACAAGTGGTGAATGGCGAGGAAGTCCGTATTAGGGGTTATAAAACCATGAAAACTAGAGATTTAGTTTACCATGGCTTTTAAGCGGATGTGGAAAACGACATTTACAGGGAAATCAGATCTCTGATCACATACTCAGATCAATGCAAAGTTTGATCCTCCTAGTACTAAACTATGGTACTGAGAAATGAACACTGAGAATGGTGGATGAATCAGCTTTAGTAGTAGAAAGGGAGATTCTTTGGTTGATTTAAGGTGGAATCGTTGAGTTATAGAAATGGTTGCGAAGAAATAATCGAGAATTATGTATATTTTCACGGAACCATATATAGCAAAATTTACTAGACCTAAAGTTAAGTTGGCTGGATTTCGAGCGAGGATCGATGAAGATCCCAGTCCAAAGAATAATTTTCTTGAAGAAAGTCATGGGCCCAGGTCTAAAGGAAGAACGAACATGCGATGGAAAGATGGCATCGTCCTCAATGTCCGAACATAGCTGTATTGGACCGGGGCGGGTATTTACAAACCCTATACGGATTCAGACGCCCTGTCTTATATATATATATATATATATATATATATATATATATATATATATATATATATATATATATATATATATATATATATGTGTGTGTGTATAATATATAATATTAATTTTAAACGACTAAAGTTTCCCAGCGAGTAGGCTGTAGAACCCGTATATGGTTTATAATGGGTTAGCCCCCAGGGCCAGTACAAACCCTTAACTTGTCCAAACAGGGATTCAGATAATCCGTACAGGGTTTGTAAATACGCGACCGGGAAACATGATGTTGGCTAATTCAAGAGTCATCGTTCAGCTGTGACTGTTGTGCGGTCCTAGTACCTTATTATTAATTTAATTATATTCATTATTTTTTTTTTACCAATGGTTAGTTTGTTATATGTAACTCAAAACATATCCAGAAATTGTCAACATAAATATTAAAAATTATTACCCTTATAAAATGTTGTACAACATCTAATTAAAAAAAATAGAAATTATCCTTTTAAAGTTATATTTGATATATGTATGACTTAATGAGTCAAAGAGCTATTATAAATTAAATATACACTTTGGAATAATTGTCACTTTTTATGTATTTTTTTCCATTCCATAGTAACTCTATGACAGGAGAATTTATTTACAAATACACGCCTTTTGTATATTTTTCCATATATAAAAAGAATTCTACTGATCATAATATATATATATATATATATATATATATATATATATATATATATATATATATATATACATACATACATACATACATACATACATACATACATACATACATACATACATACATACATACATACATACATACATACATACATACATACACATATATATATATATATTCGTAAAATTGTGCAATCAAAATGTAAATTAGTATTGTATTATATTTGAGTATGGCCAGTCACATCAAAGAAGACCTTAAATATGTTATCCTCTTTTTACTAATGACTGAAGTATGGACTATCAGAATTTCGCATACTTTGCCAGTTAAATTGAATAGGATTTGTGAATATTTATCAAATTCTTGTTGAAATAAGACAAAATTTGTAAGATATAATCTTGGTTTGGTTTTTCCACAACTATTAATATTTAAACTGGAATAAATGATAAATAAGATGCCTCAATGGCATTACATGTTATATTTATGAAGGCCACCAACAACTTAAAAAAATGTTCCTTCACTTAAGTTTACAACATGACATTACTAAATTCCCTGTTTCAAAAATTATATATTTATATATAATATTAAGCAATTGTAATCTTAAAGAATTCTTTTTATATAACTTATTAGGAGTTACGTATTTTAAATAAATAACTTTCAGATGAACAATTTTTTTTTTAATTCTGAAATAATTATTGTACGTACCGAGTAAAGGTATAAGTTGGTGTCGTAGCCTGACATGTTCTCTTTATTAGCAGGAACAAAGGGTTGTTCATCATTGCCTTCCCCTGAAACAAAGTATAGTAATATAATTTTACTAAATATAGAAATATAGTAATATAATATCATAAAAATTATCATTTTTTTTTTGTTTATTATTTTCAATAAAGAACCTTTATAACCTATGGAGAATTGTTTTTAATTGACTGTGACATGGGTCAGTCAAAATAGAATTACACAATAGGAACAGCTGGGTTGTTCTCTAAGAAGGCTTATTAATTCCTCGTTGTTAGCCATTTAAGGAAGAATTTGAAAACAAATTGACTCCCTCCTAATAGCCTGCGATTAATGAGACCAAGATTAGAAGTTTCAAGAAATTCCCGCCTACTGGAAGAAAAGAGAGTCAAAACGTACTCCTATCTGAGAGCAAATCAGAAATAATATCTGCCTCTCCTCTTGAAGAGAAAGGAATAAAGTATACGTATAAACTCTCCTGGAAATGGAGAACTGAGGAGCTTCTACTTCTTTTTCTTCGGACTTCTACAGACCTAGGACGGCAGTGGCCTCGCGACCTTTTGTAGATTGCATATATTAGAGTTCTAGCAATGGCCAGATTCCTTACTCAAGACATGAGTGAATGAATCAATGAATGAATGAATGAAAATTTTCTGTAAATAAATAAATATACATTAAAGGAATTTTAAAAATAGCAATAATATATTCCTACAATAAAACGTAGCAGATTGCAACAGTACATATGCTGACTTCTTAGTAGAAGATAACAATGTTTTTTGTGAATATAAACATAAATATTGCTGGCATATAATCATTCATAATGAATGATCTTATTTTAAGGCTCCCTATTGTAAAATAAAATATATCATTTAACTTTGCGAGGTTTTCTCTCAAGACATGAGTATATGTGAGCGATCAATCTCCGCTGGCTTTAGTACCAGTGAGGCGGTTACTCCGTTTCGAGTAGCGCAGGGTTCTCCTGGAGTTTCCTCGACTGATTGTACATAGTGAATATAAATAGTGTTTTTTGTTTAGTTTTAATTTTCTTATTTTAGCGTGATTTTATTTTATTTATTGTATACACTTTTTGATTATTATTTATTGTTATTTTGCTTCTAATTATTTTATATTTTTTGTACATATAGTGTGAATGTTATCCTACCTCACTATAACTAATGTCTAAGTGACAGATTGACACTCTGGGTACTTTGGCATTGACTGGAAGAAAAGACGCTGGACCAGAAATGGGAGTTTGATAGAGGCAATCCGAACCTTGGACTGAACAACCTCAGCTCACCACATCACATTTAGAACCACTTCAGCTAAGTTATGTAATATATAATGTATGTTTTTTTAAGCAACAGGCAATATTTCTGGATAATTATCCTCAACGATTATCCAGTGGTATCCCAATGAATAATATTTAAAAACACAGAAAAAATACACGAAAGTTTGAACAAAGAGTTTTTTAAAATTTATGTTGCATGTTTTCACTATTTTTCCACATTACAGCAGTGCCGGCCTTAGACATTCGGCGACCCCGGACAATGACGTCATCTCCCTAAAAAAAAAAAATAATTCTTAAGGTGTTTTATCTTATGTAATACTTTAAATTTATTCCATTCATTATTTATCTGATAGAGTTGCTTTATTGATAGGCTAAAATTAATTAATTAATTAATTAATTAATTAATTAATTAATTTTAATACATTTTGTATTTTTTTTTTTCAATTTCTTACAATTGGCGAGCGCCCCTGAAGAAATGCCCTCGCCTTCAACTACCGCCCATCCAGGTCGGTGCCCCGGGGTAATTACCCCGCCCTAAGGGCCGGCACTGCATTACGGTAACCCTGTAACGGCTGCACGTATTTCAAGGCGTATTCATGTATTTCGATCGTGCATATATCTCAAGAACATAACGCGTATTAAAATATATAATTAGTTGAGAAAATAAATTAAAAATGAATAAAAATAAATAAACTCATAAAAAATAAAATAAAAGTTATTAAGTGCAATAAACAAATAGCTAATGAATAAAAAATGTAAGATATTATGGATTAAATGACAATATAAATTGAATATTTAAAATAGAAACGCAGTATAATAGAACAAAAAATTATCTAAAGATATTGGAATGAAGTTGAGAATTAAATAAGAATATACGTACAACTTTTACAGTGCAGTATTATAAATTTTATTATCAATATATTATTACAACGTATACCCGAAGTATTAACCCACTACTGCCGATACTCCGTTTGCCAGATATGGCGGGTAAGAAAAAAGAAAAAAGGGAAAAAAATGAAAGTATTTCAAGGAGCTGCTAGAAGAGGGTCAGAAGCTGGAGCAATTCGGATGAGATTAATAGGACTATGGGACGATGAAGGTTTATATGGTTAAGAAGATTTTATGCCCGATTGCTACTCAAGTTGCTCATTGGAACTATCTTCACTCTGAAGCAGGTTATGTGTCATATCAGAGATGGTCGCACGTTTGTTCACTTTTACCGGCTTTATCTATTATTTTCCATAACGACCTCAATGTTCCTTATGTTTCTGACCTGGCCCAATCCAGATACCTATCCTTCCATAACAAACCATCCAAACCCTCTCTTTTCTAACCGTGCTTCCTCTTCGATCCCTGACAGCCCTCCGAAGCGTCTGAAAAGAAGATGACCTCGAGATCTCCTTTTGTAAATACATTTTAGAGTGCTACCAGTGGGTAGTTTCTCAACAAGTGGTTTCATGTTATTATATTCTTTTGTTCACATTTACTGAATGTATTTTTATTTGTAATACAGTTGTAAATATCATCAATAAAAAAAAATCTTTTATTTTGTAACTAGTAGGCCCGTGCGAAAAATTCGCACAGCATATTGTTATCAAATGCCAAATTAATAAGAAAATACAATAATGCAAGCTATCAAAAGATAAAGAAATCAAATGTTACTTTATCGATAAATATAATCGACAAAGAAAACAAAAATTAATTTAAATCTTCATTTTTGTTTGGAACCAACATGTTCACAAATTTAAGTAAGCTGTATCTTTGTCAAAAATAGCCCGATTTCGATGATTTTTTTTTCCTTTTGCAGGGGATTTAGTAATGTTTTATATGATCATGGGCATAACCAAGGGAAAAGTGTGTAATTTTTTAGTTATTCGCAAATAAAGTTTGTTTTCTTTCATAACTTGTTTGCCTGAATTTTCGGGGTGATTGGAATATTTTGCCCGCCTGAAGGAAAAGGAAACCTTCGAAATTGGCGGCTCAATCTTGAGATTTGGTGAAAAATTAACGATGATATGGCTTGCCGATCAAAAACACCTTCGATAAATAATATTAACTCCTCCTCTCTCGATCATAGAGACCTCAAGTCGACAAAATGAGACATGCATTCAATGACATTACTACAATTAATGTAAGGCTGCGTGGATGCGATTCCTATGCCTTACGTTATTTCGAAAATAGTACGTTTTAGGGCTTAAAAACGAAGGATCCGATAGTTCCTGAGGAACTATCTGGGTCTTGCTGTACGCATCAAAATCTTTAAGATCCAATTTGTCCCGTATCGATCTACAGACCTACCACCGTTCCAGTATTGAAGCCTAGCAAAATGTTTGTATCGACTTTATTTATTTTAGAAAGAAAAAAAAAAAGTGGAGAATACGATTCGCTAACCCCTCGTGAAATTCTGAATCCAACGGTATCCCATTCATGGTATTTGAGCATGACAGGAGCTTATATTTGGTACAAAACCGATTTCGAGCCTTACTGTAATAATATATGTGGGGATATTATCCGTTTAAAATTTGTAATTGCTCGTTGTTTCTTTTTTTTCAAATTTAAACATTTTTACTGCACGAAAATCCACTTTCAATTCATAATAATTCGCTCATGTGGTTTTCTTTACCTTAAAAAAATCATTAGGTGGTTCCTCCTGAAATTCGTCCTGAATTGTACACACATTCACAAACGAGGGGAGGAAACTGAGAAGCCACGTGTATCAGAAAGACAGTATTTAATGGGGGAGGGGTTGGAGTACGAGTTTGAATCAACAGGTGGTCGTTGGTTGTAGGTCACAGCCCCTACCTGTGTACCATCCCTCTGGTTATTTCCGTCCTTACTCTCATTTCCCTCTTGCAATCGATGAGTATTTTTAGACTTGTTATATAAATGTGTATATATAAAGTTTTTAAAAACTTTTGGAATTGAACTGATATTAGTTGTGGACAGCTTAATTTGCACCTTTGAGGAATTGAATCGAATTTCGAGTGACCTCTGCGCTTAAAAATATTAATCGATAATCTGTCAAAAAATAATAATTAATAATAAAAAGTATTAAAAAAAAAAAATAAATAATACAACCGTATATTCCATGGGTCGAAAGAAACAGTTAAATCTTATAATTAAGAGTAAATATTTAACTTTTACCTATATGAGTAGGTGCATAAAAGTTTTAATTTATATAAATTAAGGTCGTTATTCCACCAACATTTTAATTATTTTTCATTTTATCTAGACAGCGTTTCCGGTCATTATCAAGTATGACTCCACTAAATCGAGTTTCTCCAGAGATGACGAGGGGGAAACCCTTAAATATTAGAATATTTTAAATTTTTTTTCAAATAAATGAAAATGACATTCAATAAGGAGGTTTAGTGGAGGAACCAAACTTGAAAATGGTCCCAATGGTGGCCGAAAGGTTGCCTAGATAAAATGTCTAGACATAATAAATCTAGGTATAATGAACAGAATATAAAAGTTTTTGATTAACTTTTAATTTTATTGGTATAGTCCGAGGTACAGACTCCTTTTTGTCAAATTATTAGCATGCATCTGAAACTTCGTAAATAGTTCCATCTCATCGTAACCTACAACTATTTTATTTACGAAAACTCTTGGAATTGGGGCGTTTTCAATCTGGAGTGGGGCAAACATTTTCTATTTATTTATTTATTTATTTTTTGTTTATTTATTTAGACATATAATATTCTGTCACAGGGACAATAATTATATTGATATATGAACACATTCACACCGTATATACAAAAAAATAAAATAAAGTT